GCCACTGGCCGAGTCTGAGGATTGAATCCAGTCTTGCTGCAAAATGGCCACTGACGTTCGGCCCGAGAGAACGGGAAGCGGCACAGGCCGAGGCAGAGCATCCCCCCTAGGCTGGGGGAGCCGAGCCGGGGGACTGCCCAGGAGAGGCATCTTCGTGGGCTGTGCTGGGCTGCTTGAGGAAGGGTCCCCCCAGCGTGCAGCTGCGGCGGAAAAGGGGAGCCCCGCCCTGGGAGTCCATCGTGAAGTGACAGGAAAGCAGGGAGCCCCGTGGCGCCTCTGAGGGGGAGCCCTGGGCGGGCAGGGCTGGCGAGGCGCCTTTCTCCACCCGTGTGTCACTAGCGATGGTGACCGCTCTCACAAGGGGCAGCGACGGCACCCGGCCGAGCAGCCCCAGGAGCAAACTGGGCACAGGCTGGCGGAGGCGGTCAGCGGCCACCGGCCCACATGGCTTTGCCCCCCCCCCCCCCCCCCCCCCCCCCCCCCCCGGGCCAGTCGCTGCTGCCCTCCAGGGGGCTCCGTGGAGGCATCTGCCAGGCCGCCATGGCGAAGGGCAGCAGCCAGACCTTTGCCCCGGCCCCCTCCGTCCTCCCTGCCCCGTGGCACCCCACCTGCCCTCGCTCCCCGGCCAGCCTGCCCCATCTTCCCTCCTGGCTCAGCCCATGCGCCCCAAGCTTGGCTGCCTTCCTGGCCGCCCAGGGCTGGTCCTGGCAGGCGCCCACCTGCAAAGCCGAGCCACGAGGGAGCAGGCGGCCTCGCTCACAGAGACGGGGAAGGAGAAGACGCCCTCCATGATCTTGCTGTACATCTTCTGGGGTTCAGCACTGTGGAATGGGGGGCTGTGATGGAGAACGAGAGGAAAAGCCAGGGGGCTGAGCACTGCCGGAGGGCAGACCGACCCCCTCCCCGGCACCCGGGGCAGGCTGGAAGGGCGCTGCTCGGTGGGAGGACGCCCCTAGGTGGCTCCCTGAGGCAGCCAGCTGATCCCGCTCCGGCACAGCCTTAGGATCCGCGTGGCCCCAGGAGTGAGGAACAAGGAAGGGGGGCGCGGGCACCCAGGAAGAATCATGCCAAACTGGCCTGTTTTGGGGCAGATGTGGGGGGAGACCTCACCGTCCTACAAGCATCTCAAAGATGAGCACACCAAGCGTCCAAAAGTCCACGGCATAGTCGTGGCCCTCGTGGCGCAGGATCTCGGGGGCCAGGTACTCGGGAGTCCCACAGAAGGAGTAGGTCTTCTCCCCACGCTTCAGGGCCTTGGCGAAGCCGAAGTCCACCTGCAAAGCGACTGGCTGCTGGAGCTGCTGGGGGGGCACGAGGCCCAGCCCACGCCCCCGGGGTGCCCTGCCCCCAGGAGGGCCCCCTCGGGTGGGACGGCTTGCCTCGTGCGGGCTGCTGCTGCCGGGGGGCGGGGGCGGTATCGCCTTCCGCCTGCTTCTCTGGCTGCCGGGGGGCAGTGGGCCCTGGGTCGGGGGGCCCATGCAGCAAGGCTTCTCCCACAATCTTGCCTCCCGCCACTCCCGGGAGGGGGCCAGGCTGCCCCGTGGCGCTCAACACTGCCCCGCGGCCAGCCGAGCCTTCCCAGCAGCCCCGGGGGTGGTCCGAGGCATCGGGCCCAGCACTCATGCCTGTGTGGGACCGCCACTCCCCAAGCAGGCTGGGGCAGCCCTCCTTCCTTGCAGGGGGGGCTCCGGCGGCTTGCATCCGGGAGTCAGAGCAGCCCCCGAAAGCAGCCGTGCCCCTGCCTGCTCCCCCCGTTACCAGCTTGACGTAGCCCTTGGTGTCCAGCATGAGGTTCTCGGGCTTCAGGTCGCGGTACACGATGCCCCGCTGGTGCAGGTGCTCCAAGGCCTCGACCGCGCAGGCCGCGCAGAAGACCGCCACGGGCTCCGGGAAGCAGCGGCTGCGGGCGCAAGCGGGTGTCACTCGGGGGAGCCCAGGCCCGGTCCCTGCCCTCCACAGCCCCGGGGCCCGGCCGGCCCCAAGACCTGGATGGCCCGGGGCCTGACAGAGCCGCGGGGTTCTTGCCCCCTGCATATTGTTAATTTGTTTTATATTTTGAATGTATTATATTTTAATTGTATGTTGTGAGCCGCCCAGAGGCTTCGGTGAATGGGGCGGCATAGAAATGTTTTACATAAATAAATAAATGTATGTATGTATGTATGTGTTTGGGGCTGGTAATGCCTCCCGATCGTCCCGAGGGCCAGGCACTGGCAGAAAGCCCTCCTTACGGGAAGGCGGCAGGAGTCGATCAGATGTGGCGAGGCTGGGGCGAAAGGTCAGGTCAGCTTCTAGTGGCGGGTGGGACTGAAGGCACAAGAGGTGGGCCAAAATCCAAGTGGGAGCTGAAGCTTCACCGTGTAGCTGAAGGCTCCCAGGAGAGCCGGGGGGTGGGGGGGCAGGGAGCCTGCGCAGAAGCCCTGAAACCATCAAATGGATGGGGGGTGGGGTGTCTGGGGACTCGGGGGGCCGATGGAGACTGTCCCTGACGGCCCCAGCCCAGCCGGGAAGGGTCCCCCGGGCTCCCGGCAGGGGAGAACCAGGCCAAGAAGGGGCAGCGCCCTATCAAGGGTGGGCTTCCATGGGGCAGGAGGGGGCACAAGCCCAGGGCCGGGGTGGGCCAAAGCTCCCTGGTGCCCGTGCCCTGTGCCGGCCCCCCCTCACCCCCCCCGCAGCCCCTCTCCGTACGCCTCTCGCAGCTTGGCCCAAAGCTCTCCTCCCTGGCAGAACTCCAGCAGCAGGTAGACGTGGCGGCTGTCCCGGAAGGTCGCGAAGAGCCTGGCGGGGCAGAGAAGGGCCGTCAGTCCCCTGGCCGGAGGTCCCGCCCGGGCACGGGTTCCCACGCCCCGGTGAGGGGCCCACCTGACGATGAAGGGGCAGTGGCTCTGCTGCAGCACCTTCTTCTCCATGAGCACGTGCTCCTGCTGGCGCTTCTCCACCACGCGGTCCTTGCGCAGCCGCTTGAGGGCGAAGAGGCGCTCCGGCCCCCCGGCGTCCACGCTCCGCACCTGCGGGAGGGCCGGCTGAGTGGAGGGCCGTGGCCGCCGGCGCCCCCTGTGCCCTGGGGGTGGCCACGAGGAGGCCCTGGGCCCAGAGGCCCCGGGGGAAAGGAGGTGTCCGAAGGGCTGGGCTGGGGAGACTGCCCCCCCGGCCCACCCCTGCCCCCAAGGCCCCTGCCAGCACGAGGGGCAGCGGCGTGGGGTGCGCACTGCAGGAAGGACGTGTTGCTGCCCCCCGGCCCGGGGGGGAGGGGCAACCACCCGGCATGCGCCCTCTGCCTCCCTCAAGAACCGCAGGCAGCTCATGAGGTCTCCTCCTCTCCTTTTGATCCTTGCGACACCCCTGTGAGGTAGGCGAGGCTGAGAGCCAGCAGTGGGCCCAGAGCAGCCCAGGACGCCTCATGGCCAAGTGGGCCCAGATCTCGCAAGCCCCAGCCCAAAGCTCTAACCACTCCGCTGCGCTGCCTCTCTAGAGCCTCCCTGACCCTCCACTGCACCTGGGGGCCACAGGCTGGCTGCAGACCTGATAGGGGAGGGCAGGGGGGCAGTGCCAGGGGAGGGGGGCCCCAGGGGCTCTCGTGCTCTTGCTGCCCAGGGAAAATGAGGCTCGACCTGGGAAGCAGACAACCCTGGAGGCTCCCCGGGGCCAAGACTTGGGGGTCCACGACAGAGTGCGAGAGTCCACAGGGGCTGCAGCAGATGCCCCCCACCCAAGCGGGGCTCCCCCCCATTCCCGCGCTTTACCAGCTCCACCGTGCCGAAGCCCCCGGTGCCCAACACCACGGGCTGCCCTTGCTGCTCTCCCTCCTCGTAGCAAACCGGAAGCAGGTCCTGCAGCAGCGGGGGGGTGGGCGGCCCCTCCAGGAGGGAACCGCTGTGAGAGGGAAGCACAGGGAGAGGCGTGAGGGCCGGGCCGGGCCAGGCTGGGGGGCTGCGCGGGGGCCCTCCAACCCTCCAAGTGTGGCCGCCATGGCAAGGTGGCTCCCAGCTCCGCAGGGCTCCTGTCCACTCACGTGGTGGCGACCCTGTGGCCCCCGGACCCCCCGCAGGAGGGGTGTAGGACCCCCGCCCACCCAGCTCCTCAGCCGTGGGGCATGCAGGCGTGCGGCCCCAGTGAAGGAGGCAGCCCGGAGCCGGGGAGGGGGCTCAGGCGCCCGGCTGCCGTGGGAGGGGGCTCAGGCACCCGGCTTCTGCCCCGAGCACAGGCGCCCACGGAGGAGCCGCGAGCAGCCCCCTCTGGCTGGCGGGGCCCTTCCTCCAGGCATCGCCCAGTCAAGACTCTCCGGACGGCTCCGGCTCCGGAAGCCCCTGGCCGGCATGCCGCAGGCTCTGCAACCCTGCAACCCCGCTGCCCCGGGACTCGGCTGGGATGGCCAGTCCTGACCTGGAGGCCACACCGGCTGGTCTCCTGCAGCTTTGCACGGGCCCTCCGGCGCTCTCTGGCACACGTGGGCTGGCTTGCAGAGAGGTGGGCAAGCAGCCTTCCCGGGCTGCCCCCCCTCCCCGGCAGCTTCAGCCGTAAGATGTCGGGCCGAGCCACAGGAGAGACTCCCACACAGGGAGAGCACAGCGGTGACGGCTCAGAGGCCACAGGAGCACCAGCCTCTGGTTCGAACGGAGCGGGTCGCCCCGCTTGGCCACAAGGAGGGTAGGGGCACCTCCACTGGTCTGCAGGCCTCCAGAGCTGGCTGGAGCCGGGGGTCAGACTAGATGGCCCAGGGGACCCCCTTCTGACTCGCTCTGTTCCTGTGTTTCTACAACTCCCGCTCAGAAGGCTCAGCAGTGCCGGCAGCCCCAGCCCGAGCCCTGCCCCACCCCTCCTCCAGGGAATGGCCCCCGCTCCCGCTCTGGGGCCGCCTCCCCAGAGGTGCTGGGGTGCAGGCCGGCTTCAGAGGTGGGGACAAGGCGGAGTGCCAGAGAGCTCCACGTGCTCGCTGCGGCTCCAGTCAGCCACGGCGCGCTGCTGGGCTGTGGGGCCCCCCCTCCGGGCTGCGATAAGCCATGCAGGGCTGCCCCACGGCGTGCACCGGCCTGCCTTGGGGGCTGGACTAGCCACACGCGCTGCCCCAGCACAGACGGAGGTCCAACGCGGGTGGCCGTGCGGGCAAAGCCTGGCAACAGGAGCCCGGCCGGGAGGCCCAGGCCAGGGTCCAAGCAGAGGGCCCGGCGGCCATGCCCACCCCCCAGGGAGGGCTGCCCGGAGCCACACAGGGAACCCGGCAGGGCGGGCCTGGGCAGGTGCACTCACCGTCTGGCCTCCGGGAGCTGGGGGGCTTCCTGCACAGCCACTTCCCTGTGGAGCGGAGGAGGGAACGAAAGGAGGAGTGAGCGGAGCCGAGCGCCCCTCTTCCGGGCTCCTGGCACGGAAACGCCTCTTCCCGGGCCCAGGCAGCTCCGCAGCAACTGGGGCAGCCCTTCCTGGACAGCCCTCTGGGGGGTGCGGGCACTGGGCGTCCTGCCCTGAGCAGGGGGCTGGACCCACGGCCCTCCACCCGTCCAGCTCTGCTCTTCTGGGCCTCTGTGAGGTGCCAGCTCAAGCCTGCCCTCCCACCCGCTGGGTGGGTGCAGGAGCCGTGCGGCCCTCACACCCCCCAGTCCCAGGGCTGCAGCCCCCGGGGGCTCCTCCTCAGCACGGCACCAAGCTCCCTCCACGGCCCTTCGTGGAGCAAAGCCTGCGGGAGGGCAAGGCGTGCCGGCCAGCCCGGCTGGACCCCAGAGGGACCGGCAGGAAACCCGGAGCAGCCAGAATGGCCGCGAGACGCCTGTGAGCCCCGGAGCCCAGCGAGCGCCCTGTGAGGGGCGGCGTCACCAAGCTGCGGTGGGGCAGGCTTGAGGCGGCCCCCGGGCCAGAGGTGGGCGGCAGGAGCTGGCCGGGGCTGTCGGAGGGCTCTGTAGCGCTGCAGTGGGCTTCGCTCAGAGCTGCCCCACCTCGTGCTCGCGAGGAGGAAATAGGCAAGCCCGGCTCGTGTCCCACTTCTGAAATCTCAACATTCCTGGGGTCCACCCTGGTGCCTTGGTGGACGGCGAACAGGAGGAGAGACGCTTCGGCTCCACTGCCCGCGTTCTGTTGCCCACCCAGCAAGAGGGCTGCGTGCCCCCAAGGGCAGAGAGCGCGTGGCCCAGCGCGACCGTCGCCGCAAGAGGCGGGCAGTGGCTGCTGCTGGGGGCGCGAGCCCCCCACTAAGCCCTGGGTCCACCCCAAACACCCGTCAGCCCCAGAGCAGGCGCCGCGTGGAAGGACATGGAGGCCGCGTGCCGGCAACCCCCTCGCCAGCCTTTCGCGCCCGGGCCACTCTGTGGCCAAGCGCCGGCCGTGCCAGCCCCTTGGTTACCCACGTCAGCCCCCCCCCCCCCGTCTCAGAGCCGCGCAAATGAGGCCTGTGGCCGCTCTGGCATGTGTGCAGCCTCCACTTTGCTGCGATCGCTCCGGGTGCTTCTGCTGCCTCAAGGGCTCCGGCTTTGGGCAGCCGTGTGCTGCGGTGGCCGCGCGTTCTCCCGGCTTGCCCGCGCACCTGGCTGGGGGCCGGGCGCAGCTTCAGTTGCGGGGGAGGGCAATGGCAGTGCCCACCCAGTGGCTGCCTGGGAACCCCGCGCAGAGGCGCCCGCGGCTGCCCCCACCGCTGCCGGCGGCCTTTACTTACGGCTCGCGCGCACACATTGGACTCAGCTCCTGGAAGTCTCTGTGGGGGAAGCCAAGAGAGGGCGGCCGTCAGCAGGAGCCCAGCCTGGGGCACCACCCAGAGCCCTCCCCTCCCCCCATGGGAGGGGGCCTCGGGGACAACAGACCCTCCCCCATCGAGGCCAAAGCAGCTGTGGAAGTGGCGCTTCCGAACTCACGGCAGGAATTTTTATCTCAACGGGGCCTTGTAAAACACGGAGCTGCATTTTGCACACCAGAACATGGGACTGAGTTACATGCCGATGGGAGAACCCCAAAAGCGGCGAAGAAACTAGCACAGCTTTAGGCGGGGGCTGTCTGAGCAGAGGGCATGGACTGTCCAGCTTTTCCTGCTCCAGATTGCCCCCTCTTCCAGTGGCACCCCCTCTGGCGGCATCTTTGCCCGGGTGGGGGGGCCACTATCTGGGTGTACGGGGGGCAGCGCTTGGACCATGTGCAAAAGAGTTCTGTGCCGTGCCCTGGCCAGGACTGGGAGCCCCTCCAAGCCCCCATGAGCTCCGTCATGGCTAGAGCCGGGGTCAGACCAGACGGCCCGGGAGGCCCCTTCTGACTTCCTCTGATTCTGTGTTTCTATGTTTCTGAATGTTTGCTAGAAAATGCGATTATGATGATGACGATGGCAGAACAGGGGCAGCTGCAACGGCAATACTTCTGCTTCACCCCTTCGCACCCTCTTCAGGCTGTGGGCCAGCTGGACTGGGCCTGGAGGCCGGAGAGGTTTTATGCGAGCGCAAAACCTGAGGAAGCCAACTGTCGATTCACAGCTTTGGCTGAGGACCGCAGGCTGTTCTTTCGGGGCCCGGAGAGCTCGCAAGCGGCGAGTTGGCAGCCACAAGCTTGGCTCGCCTTCTTCCCTAGGCCAATGGGGCTTGCATGTTCCGCGTGAGTCAGAAACCTGCCAGACCTGCTGCAGCAGCAGACGTGGGGGGTCCAAAGAAGCCCATGAGCACGGATTGCGAGCGAGGCCTTTCCGAAGCCATTTTCAGCGGCCTCGGTTAATGGCGTCTTAACGCAGCACCGTGAGCCTCACAGCTCCTGCGGACCAGCCAGCTTTCCTGGGCAGAAGCTTCTGAGGACTGAAGTCCACCTCCTTGGGCACTTTTAGGACCCTGAGGGTGCGGAATGGGCTTCCACACGAGGTGGTTGAGGCCCCATGGGTGCGGGTGTTCAAGGATGGGCTGGACATGCACATGGTGGGCATGCCGTGAGCGGAGCCGGCTGGTGCTGGAGGTCAGACTAGATGGCCCGGGAGGCCCCTTCTGACTCGCTCTGTTTCTCTGTTTCTCTGTTTCAGTGTCCTCTCCTTATGAACTTGCCAGCTCATGTCAACAAATGGATGAAGAGGTGCGGGGGGGGGGGGCATGCAGTGGGGCCTAGAGGCAAGCAAGAGGCCACGATTCTGCGTGATGGACATCTCAGGGCAAAGCTTGGTGTTGTGCAGAGCAGCATCGGGCCTCCCCACAGGCCAGGCAGGCCCCTCAGAGCTCGCAAATATTTGAGCTCGCCACAGGAACGACCCTCCCGTGTTCGTGCCTCCAGAGGCCTAGTTGACTCTGCCCCCTGTTTTCGCCCAAATTCAGGCGGATCTGCCCGCTGCGGAGGACGCCACGGCAGCCCGGAAGCAGCCGCTGGCTGCAGCGTTTCTCCCGCAAGGACTCGCTGGCCCCCAGGCGCCCCGGGCTCCTCCTCACTGCAGGGGACCCCCGTGGCCTGGCCCATGTCCTACGGTTGGACCTCCCCCCATGAGGGCTGCTGGCTGGACTCCTCTGCCCTGGCTCCGCCACTCTGCCCCATGTGGCTGGCACAGCCCACCGGTGCCCTCAGCGCAGGGCCCGGCTCAGCGATTCCGGCCCCAGCCAAAGCCCCTGTGGGACCCTTCCACTCGCTGCCTCGGCGCAGGAGCCCCCCCCCCGGCCCCCCGAAACACACGGGCGGCCCCCGCGCTACTCACTCTTTGGCTACCGCGATGCACGTGACCTCGCCCTGGGCCCGGCAGCTGGCTGTCCGGCGAATGTTGCTGCGCACAAGGGAATGCAAGGGGCACGTGAGGACAGCGGCCGTGGACAGCCGTGGCTGGGCTGCCGCTGCCCGTGCGGGGGGCGCTCGGGCTGCGGGGGGCTCGCCGGGGCCCACCCGGCGAGGGTGCGGTGGCCGCCTTGGGCACCCGCCTAGCAAGAGGGGGTTCGCCGCCAGCATCGACACCCTGGGGGAAGCCGCCGCGTGTCCCCCAGATTTAGCGGGCAGGATGTAGCCCGGTGACCTGCGGTCAGGCCCCACTGCTCCTTGTCGTGGGCAAGACCACTGGCCCCGAAGAAGCCCGACCGCCTCCGTTACCCTCTGTGAATTGGGCGTGACCAGGACCCATTTTCCAGGGGCTGCTGTGATGCCCAGCAAGCTGGGAACGCGGTGCTTTTGGGTTCCCCTGCAAAGGGCTCTGCTGTGACCTCTCTGGGGTGCGGCCGATGCTGCCACGGCCTTCCCGGGCTTTAAATCCACAAATAGGAAAGCTGCTTGAAAACGGCCTGCCTGCCTTCGATGGGGAGAATAGCACTGGTTAAAGTGAATATACTACCTAAGCTTTTGTTTTTGCTCCAAATGCTTCCTGCAAAAATTGATAAAAAATCCCTTGATGATCTAAACTTTCAAATTTCGAGATTTATCTGGAGAAAAAAGAAACCAAGGATTAAATTAGAAATGCTTCAGGAGGCCAAAGGGAATGGGGGTTTTGGTCTCCCTGATTGGATGTTGTACTATCAAGCGTCTGTTCTAACTTGGCTAAAAGGATGGATAACTCTGCGAAATAAGAGAATCTTGTATCTCGAAGGTCATGACTTGCAGATGGGTTGGGCATGTATATTATATGTGGTACGAGAAGGCTAAGTCACATGGGTCTTTTCTGAGTCACTTTATTAGAAGATCACTAATGTCAGTGTGGGAAAAGTTAAAGTCAAAACTGTATAATAAACTACCAATTTGGCTTTTACGTATGGAAGCTTTTGTATATCCAAATGCACTGAATTTTGAAGGGATCATAAGATATGATGATATTTTGGATAAGGATGGAGGCCTGAAATTAGATCAAGAAATACAAGAACAGGGATTTAATATCTCTTGGTGGTATAAGGTGCAGATACAATCGAGATATGTTAAAGATTGTAAAGTACGGGGGTTTTATAAAGATTTAACAGCATTTGATCAAGTGATGCTCAAAACAGATGAGAAAATGATTAAAAGGTTATATGATTTCTTACTTGACAGGAAAATGGAAAGGGATCAGGTTAAGGAAACTATGATAACATGGGCACAAAATTTTGGATATAATGTTGAATTAGAAAAGTGGCAAAAGCTATGGGAGAAAAATATTAAGGTAACATTAGCAACTTTGTATAAAGAACATTTATATGAAATGTTCTACAAACGGATGTTGGAAATGTAAACATAAATTGGGTACTTTTTACCATATGTGGTGGACCTGTGACAATGTGAAAAAGTATTGGATTAAAATACATAAATGGCTTGAGGAAATGCTACAAAAACCCTTAGCTTTAAACCTGAAGTTTTCTTGTTGGGTATTATACCGGAAGATATTAGCAAACAAGAAATGTATTTGATGTTGCATGCAATCCCTGCGGCGAGGGTTGCATTCGCTCAGCACTGGAAGAGTGAGGAACTGCCCACCGACGAACTGATTCTAAAAAAGATTCTGGCCTGTGCAGAAATGGATAGATTGACTTTATCACTGAAGGAGAAAGAAGATACGGACTTCTATCAGACTTGGGACCTTTTTTATGATTGGTTGGAGAAACGGGACTTGGCTTAGATTTAAAGATGTTTTTAAGTTATCATAAAGCGATTTGAATATGACTATAGAATGTTAAAAAAATATGAGTAGGGGGCTGACCCAGTGCGTCCGATGTATTTGATGATTGATGCTTTTGGTATTAGTTTAAAATCTTAATAAAATCTTTAAAAAAAAGAAAACATCTTGTCTGCTGGGTGGGCCAAGACACGCCAGTTTTGATTCACGCGTGCTGCTTCATCTCACTGCCTGGAGAGGCAGCCCGTGAGCCTTGGCAGCCAGGAGCGTCCGTCCACCCATCTGCCTTGGAAGGGAGCCTACGAGAACCGGGGCTGGGCAGCCCAGAGAGATGCCTGAGGGGGGGCAGGAGAGCACCCCACAAGTACGGGGAGGGCTGTCCCAGAGAGGAAGGGGAGGCCTCCTCCCGACCACCCCGGCCTGCAGGACACGGAATCACAGGCTCACGTTCCAGGAGCCCACGTTCTGGCTGAAGAACAGGAGAACTTTTTATTTAAACATCATTTATTTTATTTAAATAAAAAAGACCTTTTTATTTAAACATCATTTATTTTATTTAAATAAAAAAGACCTTTTTATTTAAACATTATTTTAATTGTTAAAATATATGATCTGGCCAGGGCAACTTCTTTCTTCTCTTTTCTCCTCCTATATTCTTTATTTACTTATTTTATACTCTTAATTTTAATTTTATATTATTGTATCTCAGTGTATTTTTTGTATTTTTGTATTTAGTGGTAATTTATTATGTTCTATTGTATTTCAATGTATCTTATTGTGTTGTAAGCCGCCCCGAGGCTTCGGCAAGGGGTGGCATAGAAATGTTATAATAATAACAACAACAACAACAACTTGCTGACCAGGAGAGCAGCATGATAGTGGGACCCATGACCTGGGGAGGCGGGGGGCTCTCCCGCCCTGGAGGCCCTCGCGAGGCAGCCGGGCAGCCGTCCACACGGGATGGGGCGACTGGGAGCCCTCGCTGAGCCGGGGCCGGGACCCGGCAGCCCTCTGGCCCCTCCCAGCTCTGCTGTCCCACGATTCCGCAGCACGGCTGCCCTTTGGCGCTTCTGGGGGGTCGTGTCCAAAGGCCCCTTCATGGCCCCCCCCTTTGGCCACCTGCTGCTCCTCGCTCTTTTGCTGCAATCGAAGGGAGGATGGTTGCAACATCCGTGGGGGGAGAGCAGCAGTCAGAGGAGGGAGCAGAAGCAGGCGAACCGCCACCCAGAGGCAGCTCAGCCACGGATGGCCTCTTTCAGCAGCGTCCTCTGTCTCCCGGCCCCACTCCGAGCTGGGGGTGGGGGGAGCAAGATGCCAGGAGAGGGTCTGGACAGGGCACCAGCAAGTCCCCCCACGGCCGGGGGCCCCTCCCTCCCAGCGCTTCCATGTGAGGGTCCTGTGAATAGGAGGAGGGCCCCCCCCACCACGCAGCTGTTGAGCTGCACCTGCAGGACACGTGCCCAAGGGCGGCGGCAAAGCAGGGCAGGCAGAGGGGAGGCTGGGAGGGGCCGTCCTTCAGGGGCGGCAAGGGGCGCTCCGGCGGCCCCAGGAGCCAGTCCCAGGCCCTGTGCGAGCCCCTCGGTTCAGAAGGACCAGAGAGCCAGGCTGCCCCTCGGCCAGGGGCCCCACTGTGCCGGGCGGGCCTGAGCGGGGGCTGAGGCCCAGCCGGGGCTGCAAGAGGGCGGCCGGCAGGAGGTCCATCCAGGGCCCTGCCAGAAGCCCCAGGCCAGCCGGACCCACCTGCTGAACCCTGGGCCGCCCCTGCAGGGCCCGAGCGTCGCCTCCGGCTCGCGCTGCGACTCTCTGCTCTCCCGCCCCCCTCGGTGGGGCCTCTCAGGGCCCCCCGCAGCCTCGCTGCCCCAGCTTACCGGATGAGGGCGAGCTCTCCAAAGTGCTCCCCAGCCTTCATCACTCGGATGTGCTCCTCCCGCCCCTCCACGTCCCTCGTCACCTCCACCTGCGGGAAGCAGGGCGGGGGGGTGAGCGCCCGACACAGCACCACCGAGGGGAGGGGGCCGCCCTCCGTTTCCATCCCTGCAGCGGTTCTGCACCCGCCGGGACGTGGGGGCGCCTGCCGTGGGCGTCTGGCCGACTCCATCGGCTGCCGCAAGCAGAGTGGGCAGAGGGCCGGGTCGTGGCCCTGGGCCCTTCCCAGCTCCTGCCGGAAGGGCCGTGTGCAGGCGGGGCCCGTGGGCTGCGGCAGGCGGGGAGGGGGCCAGGCTGGTGGGCCGGTGGGCAGGGAGCGGCCGGGGCCTTCCAGCAGAGGCAGGCCCTGTGGCGGAGGAGCTGTTCTCTGCCCCGCAGTCGGTTGGCGGAGGGCTCCGGGCCCCCACGAGGGCTCCCTGCCTCGGCCACTCGCGTTCGGGGACGGAGCGGAGTGCTGGCGCCGACCCACCTGCCCGCTGAGGATGAAGAAGAAGGTCCTCCCCTCGTCACCCTCCTGGATGATGACCTCGCCGCGGGCGAAGGAGCGCTGTGGGGGCACAGACAGAGCACAGGCTGCCTCCCTGCTGCGCGAGCGCCCGTGGGGCACGTGCGGCACCCTGCCCCCCCCTCGGCCACGCCACGGGGCGGCCACGTGCGTGCACTCGGGTTACCTCCTCCGCAGAGTCCAGCAGCTGGGAGAGGGCCGCCTCCGAGAGGCCCTGCAGCGGCTTCACCCTGAGGGGCAGCGAGACGGAATGAGCCGGGCGGACCTTCTGTGGCGGGAGCTACGCGGCCCCCCGAGCAGTGGCCTCCCTGCCCTGCTCGTCCCTGCCGCAGCCACCCAGCAGCAGTGCCAAGATGCCCTCCGCAGATGCCCAGAGAAACAGCGTGGCAGAAGGGGTCCCCCGGGCCATCTAGTCTGACCCCGGCTCCAGCCGGCTCCGCTCACGACGGGCCTGCCACGTGTGCCCCCTCCTTCCCCCTCGCACTTCAGCTCCAGGGGGCATCAACCACAACCCCCCCCCAGCTGCCTCTGCCTGCTCTGCCTCCTCCTTGCATTTCCCGCTGTGCCCCCCATCCTCCCTCCAAGCGTTTGGGAGCCGACGTGGAAGTGTGCCACCTGCGCCCCACTGCCCGGCCCCCCAGGGCCTCGCTCCCGCACACTCACCCTCGGAGGCCCGCCAGGACCTGGGCCCGCCGTCGCTTGGCGTTCTCGGTGATGATGGTGCGGTACGTCTGCCGGTCAATGGCCCACAGCTGCACCACGGTGAGCGCTGGGGAGGAGGAGCTGGTCTTAATGGGGGGCGTTCTCCACAGAGGGGGTGCACACGCTGCCCCTCGGCTGAGCAAACAGCAGCCCCGGCAGAGGCCCCCTCCCCCAAAGATGCCAAAAGGGCTGCTTCCAAATGCTTCCTCCACCTCCCACAGAGCCCACGTCTGTCTGTGTGTCAGTCACGCGTCAGTGCCAGAACGGAGCAGGAGGGTGTCGCAGAGCCGGGTGGCAATTTCCAGCACCGCGTGGGCAACTCTTTTGCCGTCGGCCAGCGAAAGCGCCGCTGCAGGCCACGAGCGGCACAGTGCTTCGGAGTCCTGCCAGGCGTTGGGATTTTGGAGCACGTGCCATTGGGGCAGAGCCGTCGTCCGGGCGCTAAGGCAGGCAGCACAAAGGCCTGCCCCGGAGGCCGCCCCGTCCGGAGCAGGCCCCGGCCCCGGGGCAAGCGGCTGGGCTATGAGGGAGGCAGAGGCTGCCCGCGGCCCGCGAGGAGAGCGGATGCCGCGGCGCCATCGCCATGGCAACTGAGCCAGCGAGGCCCGGCCCCACTGCGAAGCCGCACCGCCGAGGCCCGTGCCGTCTCCCCCCGCACTCCCGGCTCCGAGGAGGCGGAGGTGGTGCCAGCCCCTGGGGCCAGTGGCCGAGCCCCCCCGCGGACGGACAGGCCATGGCTGCTGCGGGAGGGCCCTCCGCGCTCCCTCGCTGGCCCTTGCGCTAATTGTTTCCAGTGGGTGGAAAGGTTTCCAAGCCATCAAATGTTATGAGTCAGGGCGATGGAATTATCGCTGCGAGTTCTGTGGGGGGGGGGCACATCGTGCTTTTGTTTCAAGGCCAACAGGGGGAAGCCGCGCGCATTAAAGACTCCGGAATATCTTTTCACGGTGCCACAGGAGCCCGATGTTCTGGCAGCATTTCGACATTATTTTCCGCACGAGGCCGAGCCTCAGAAGGCAGGTGCAGCTGCCACTCACTCACTGGGTCCCGCCCCCCAGCGCCCCCCCACTCAGGAGCTGCCTAGGAGGCTGGGGGGAGCGGGGCCCCCAGAGAAGCAGATGGGGCACCGTGCTTGGGCCGCTGTGTGCCGGAGCCTCGCCACAGAGGCCCCCAAGGCAGAGCTGGGAGGGCCGGGGGGGCGCGCACCCTCGCCCTTCTCACCCGTGACGGTCGCCGTGCGCTGGCAGTTGTACAGAACCGCCAGCTCCCCAAAGACGTCCCCGGGCAGCAGCACACGGAGCCGGCGGCTCTTCTGCGTAACGCTGAGCTCCCCCGCTGCAAGGCAAGAGCAGGGGCTGCCGCACTGGCCAGGCGCATGCTTGCGGGCTGACCGGCCCAAGGGGCCACCCCGAGGGAGCCTCCGCGAGACTCGGAGATCCGAGGGGCTGGAGGCGGGAGGGGAGGGGGCTCCAAGCACCCCCATTGCTGCCCTTGCTGCACGGGGCCCACAAGCGGTGAGCTGGGCGGCCCCGAAGCACCCTCTTCACCGCAGCGGAGGGCTTCCTCTCCGATTCTCGTGCGTCTGGTGGGGCGGGCTCCCATTCGGGGACCCCCTGGGCACGGAGGCCCAAGTGGCGCCGGCCACAAACCGTTTGGAGAGTCCTAGCACGCCGCCGCCCCTCCCTCCGCTCGGCAAGCTCTGTGCCCAGCCCGGTGCCGTGCGCAAAGCGGGGGCAGCGCCACCTGGGGAGGGCTGCCTTCCCCTCCTGCTGTCTCAGCAGCCTCGACCAGTTCTGCCAGCCCAGTTCTGTCCGGGGCTCAGCCCCTCCCCAGCCAGGGATCAGCCGCCTTTGGGGGTCCCCAGGAAAGAGCCAGGGTCGGGCACGCCAGGGGTGCAGCGCTCCGTGCGGCACGCCCCGCCGCGGGTGGGGGGGAGCTGCTCCAGGTAGGGGCCACCGGCAGTGCCTGCCGGGGCTGGATCTCCAGCCAGGCAGGACCGCTCTCTGGGAAGGTGCTCTGCACTGGCTCAGCAGCCCTCCCTGCTCTGACTTGCCCTCCTGCACCCCTCCGGCCTTGTGTGGAGCCCTCCAGCCCAGGGAGACCTGCCAGGGGCCTGCCCAGACAGAGCACGGGGAGGGGGCGGGGGAAGGGGCAGCCCCTTCCCCATCGACTGCGGCCATGTCTGCCTGGGCTTTTCAGCCCTGGGCTGGGCCTGGGACCCGGCAGGCAAGCCGGGAAAGGGAAATCGGCCAGTGCCCTCTCCGAGCCGACTCCGCGGCAGAGGGCAGAGCTGAGCTCTCTGAAGGCCCTTTCTGGAGGAGGGTTCCTCTCCTTCTTGTGCCCCCATCCCCAAAAGGCCAGCGAGCGGCGTTTCCACCGAACGTTCCCCACCAAGCAGGCCTGCCACAGCGCAGCTCTCAGCCCCACGAGCCCCTGGAGCGGCACGTGGCGGAGGGCAACTTGGAAAGGCAGAACAGTGGCGAGGCCCCCGTGCGGGGACCGCCATCCCCACCGGAAGGAGCTGCAGCAGCACCGGGCAGGCCGGCCCGGGAGGTGGGGGCGAGGGCTGGGGGGTTTGCTCCTGTCCCCGGAAGGCAGGACCTACCACAGGAACCTGTGAAGGAAGTCTTCCCCGGGGAGGCTTGGCCAAGTTACCCACCTCCTCACCCCTTTCTCTCCCGACAAATAGCATGGAGATTTAGGTTGTGCGCATGCAGCGCCACGAGGGACGAGAGTCCCCGGGCAGGCAGAGGAAAAGTCTCTGCGCCCCACTTGCAAGGAGCCCGGCTGAGGCCTGCGGTGGGGGCCAACGGCATCGCAGGAGGGAGGAGGCCCCTGTCCGGCTGGGGCCCCGGAGGATGAGTGGAGGGACGGGCTGCGTCACCCCAGCAGCAAGGCACTCCGTTGCAGGCGGCAGGCAGGCCCTCTCGTGGTCCTCGGGGGGGCCCCGGCCCCACACCCCGCCGGCCCTCACCAGCCACGATGTACATGGTGTGCCCCTCCTCGCCCTCGGCCACGACGGCCTCTCCGGGCTGGCGCTGCTCTGGGGTGAAGCTCTCCACCAGCGTCTGGCTCTGCCCGTCGCCCAAGCACCGCAGGAACTCATTGCGCCTCACCGCGTCCAGGATTAGGGTGGCATCCCTGGGGCAAGGGAGGAGAGGCGCCAGGTGGGGCCACCTTTGCATCCATCTCCCCCCCCACCTGCCTGCCACCTGCCCTCTGTCGAGCCACACCAGCATCGCCACCTCCTTGCCCGCCCTGGTGAGGCTCCCCAGCACCTGGCCAGGTGCGATCAAGTTACCTGGAGGACTTGGGGATGCACGGCACCTGCCAGTCTCCTCCGACACAGAGAGGCTCTGGGACAATGGCCTGGCCCCTCCAGCCTGCCCTGCCTTCCTCCACTGGGGAGGGGCGCTGGGTGCTCTCACCAGCAGGCCCTCCAGCCTTCTCAGGACTTCCAGCTGCAGAAAGGAGGAGGGGGAGGGAAGAGGGTCTCGCCTGGCCTCGGCAGCCTCCCGCCCTCCCGCCCGCCCTCCCTCGCCCGCGGATCATGCCAGCCTCCTGCTCGCTTGCTTGCTTGCTCGCTTGCTTGGAGGAGCGCATGGCTCCCACCGGTCTTCCCAGAACCCTCTTTGGGCTGGATGTGGCTCTTCTTGCCACGGAAGCCAGCGGGGCGGTTTTCCATGCCCTCTGGAGGAGCAGCTGGATGGCACGCTGGACGCGGACTGGGGGACGCATGTCTCTCCGCCCGTCCGGCCTCCCCACAGAGCTGCTGTGTGACTAAAAGGGGGGCAGTGGCGGGGGAGGGGGGCTGTGTGTCCAATGCTGAAATCCTAAAACCAGCGAAGTCAAGTGGGGTGCCTGGAGCAGCAGAGCCCAGACGGAGTGGGGCCGCAGCCGTGGCAGTAGCGGCGGTGGTGGGGCGAGTGCGGCTGTTCCGGGCATGGCAGCCTGTGGGGGGCCGCCAGCTGCTCTCCCCACACGGCACGGCGAGGGTGGCCCTGCCGGAGCCGGTGCTCCAGAGGTGCATTCGGCTGCAGCATCCTGGTAGATGGGGAGGGTGCCCCGGTGGTGGCACCGGTTTGGGGAGGGCTGCCAGGGCAACGGGAAAGGCGGGAGGGCTTCCAAGATCACCTGCGGCATTCTCCTCGGCGCCCGGCCAAACCAGGGGGGAGAGCACCCGCGGCGGCTACACAGGCCTGGCAGAAGAGCCCCAGGTGAGGAGGGGGGCGCAGCGGGGTGGAGCGAGCACCAGCAAACGCCACGGGATGCCCAGCCTGAAAAGCTGGAGAAATTTGTCGGAGGGATCCGCGCAGCGCAGCCTCCGGCAATTTCCTCTGATGGCGAGTGGAGGAGGCACCGGCCTTGCGGCGCCCTCGCAATGACTCACACAGGTGGTCGCCGGGAAGTTCTCTTGCGCATCCGAGGGCCTGCGGCTGCTGCGGCGTGTCACTCCACGGAAGGGCTCGGGCACCCTGTGGGCTTCCTCGCGGGAAAGGCGCGATACGGCCCTTCCTTCTGGCCAAGCCGCGTCCCTACGACGCCGGCCGGGGCCTCTTTCCTGGATCGCAGCCCGGCCCCAGAAGTCCCGGCGGGAGCGCCTCCTTACCTGGCTGGGGCAGCGCGACGCTCTCCAGAAAGTCCTTCTCCTCCTGGAGACGCAGCTCGCGCAGCCGCGGGTCCATGGCCGGCCTGGGCAGCTCGACGCGCGCTTCGGGGCGCAGCAGCAGAGTTCGTGGCGGCTCTGCGCGGGAAGATCGCGGGGAGACGTCCGGAGAAGCCTCGGCGGCCGTCCGGCGCTCGGGTGCCGGGCGCGCCCGCCCAACCCGAGCCCGCCGCGCCCCGCCGCCCCCCGCCCGCGAGGCCCGGAGCCCTTCCTCGACGGCGCCCCCGCCCGCCCCCCGCCCGCCAGCCCGGCAGCCCGGCGGCACCTGTCGCCCGCTCCGATGGCGCCTCGCCTGCGCTCTGGCCGCCGCTCGCGCTGCCGAGTGGGGGGCTGCTGCGGGGAGGCAGTGAGTCACCCCGGCGCCGGGGGTGGGGCGGGGGAGGGGGAGGGGGCGTGCCGCCGCCTCGCCGAGGCTCGGGCAAGGCTGCCGCCGCCGCCGCCAGCCCTGCCCGCCTGCCCTGCGCGCTCGGCGCAGAGAGGATGCCGAGGCGTTACTAGGCAACCGGCCGGCCCGCAGCATCGCCGCCGCGCGCAGATTTCGGCAGGGGCGGCGTGGTGGGGGCGGGCGGCCGCGGAAGAACTGAAGTCGGCGGGCCATCGACCGGGGCCGGGCTGAGGCTCCGTCCAGGAGCGCTGGCCGGGGGCCGAGACCGACGGGCCGACCGGTGCGCGCGGGACCCCGACTCTGCCCGGAGTAGGAACCTGCGGCGTGGCGGGGGCAGCGTTAAGCGGGGAGAAGCCAACGCGCGAGTGGCGCGCCTCTTTCGGAAGCGGGCAACCTCGGCCGCGGAGACCTCGCCGGACAGTCCCCCAGGCAGGGGCGCGCGTCTCGGGCGCCTGGACGCAACGCTCCGCAAGACGCGGGCGGCGGCCAAATCTGCACCCCCGCCTCGGGAGCTGCTGGCGGGCGGCCCTGCCCCGGGCCACCCAGCTGGCCGCGGGCGCCCACGCAGGCTTCCCACGCCGGGCGGGTGACTCGCAGCGAGGCAGCCCGCTCTCCGTCCTGCGCCCCACCTCCGGCCGTGCCTGGGCGCAGCTCCGGAGGCAGCCCGGGAAGGCGAGCCCGGGGCCGGGGCACCTCGCTGGCGAGCGGCAGAGGAGCGCGCACACACCCGCGCCCGAGGCGAGCCTGGGCCAGGAGGCACCGGAGGACGAACCGCCGCCTCCCGTCCCGCTCCTGCCCCGGCCGGCGTGCGCGGGCGCGCTCTGGCCGAGGCCCTGGGAAGGACCGACGGAGAGCTGACCCGCTGCCGCTGCGGCCGGCGCCTCCTCCTGCCCGCGGCCGCCGGCTGCTCCAGGAGGGCCTCGCCCGAGCAAGGCCGCCGCCGCGGATCGCGCCCTCCTCCCGCTCCAGCCCGGCTTGCGTTCGCTTTACCGGCCGTGGCTGGCAGCGCGGGCGGGGCTCCGCAGATGTGCGGCCCGGGCCGGGGCTGCTGCGCGGCCACTTCGGCGTGCGCGCGCATGGTCGGGATCTGCCGCAGACCGGCGTGCAAGCGCGCGCCCCGCAAGCGCCCGGACAGAAAGGACCTGGGCTGGGCCTGGTCCCCGGCTCAGGGGCACGGCTTGCTGGCCGGGGCACGGACTCTGCCCATGCTCTGAGCCGCCCTTCCTTCTGCTTTGTGGAGCCCAGCTCGGGGCTTGCCCTCCGGAAGGATCCCGTCCAAGCTTCGCCTCGGGTGGGGCGCAGGGCGGCCCCATCCTAAGGGATGCCCCGACGCTCGCCCATCCAGGCAGCTGTACAAAGCCACAGGGCCCCGGCACCGCTCCCCACCAGAGGAAGATCCCCCCCACATGGCCCTCTCTGTCGGCCCTCCTGCCCCGGCCCTGCCACTGCCCAAAGCGGGGGCCACCCCCCCCACCTTGGACAGACCTGCCCCGCGCAGGCTTCATGCCGGGCTCCCCGGAAGCCGCACAGGCCCGTGCCCTGCTTGAGCTGGCCGCTCCCAGCTAGGGTCAGTTACACATTAATCCGGCAGCTGCACTATCCTCCTCCACCCCCCACCCCCGGTGCGGAAGACTCCTGCAAGAAGTCAGCAGCGCCCCCAACCCCCCCTCCTGCTCTGCTTCAGGGGTCTCCAGAGGAGTGGGCCGCATCTGTGTGATCCCCACTTCTGCGTGCGCCCAAGTCTCAGCTTTGACCGAGGGCCCCTGTGGCCTGGGGCGAGGGGCGAGAATGGGAAGGTGACCCCTGGAAAGGGCTGAGACACCCTCGAGGGAGCCCGGGGAGGAGGAGGCGGCTCGTGGTGGCCCAGGAGGGAGCGGGAGCGGCGGCTTGCTCTGCACAGCCACAGCCAGGGGCAGCCTCGGAGCAGCCAGCTGCACTCCGCCAGGGCCCCTCCGGCTGCCGCAGAGCTTGAGCGATGCTGCGGGAAGAAGGGCCCCCGGGTACGCCCTTCCCCTGCGTGCGTGCGTGCGAGCCGGGAGGGGAGCCGGGCTGCAGGGGTGGCGCGGCCCTCCCTTCGCAAACTCCTCAGCCTCCAGATGTTCCCGGAGGAGGCCCTGAGACGGGAGGCCCAGAAGCAAACTCCAGCGGGGCGGTGGACGGGAGGCACTGGGCCCAGGACTGACCCGGCGGCACCCACTCGTTACCGCCATCCAGCTGGCGAGGGCGCTGTTGATGAGCCCTCTTGGTGTCCGATTCAGCAGCCACACTGAGTAACTCTGAAAAAGAGACAAAAGGTCAATCTAGTAAGGAAAAAGATACCAACGTTTGCAACAGGAAATGAAGAAGAGTGATAATTGTGGGAGATTCCCTGTTGTGCAAGATGGAAAAATAGGTGTGTTGTGATGATGCATAGAATTGCTCCCTTTTCTCCCTGCGGCCAAGATTCATGGTATAACCAATCAGCTCCTGCATCTAACACAACCCACTGACAACCCCCCCTTCCTGCTCACCCACGTGAGAACTAACAACACTGCTAGGAGAAGCTTTGATAAAATAACGTCAAACTTGGAAGCTCCAGGCAGGAAAATCAAAAACACGGGCCCAGGCAGCCTTCTTCCCAGTCCGACCAGTAGATGGAAGAAGAACTTTGAGAGCCAGTGTGGTGTGGTGGTTAAGAGCGTGGGACTGGGACTCAGGCGATCCGGGTTCAAGTCCCTGCTCAGCCATGGAGCCAACTGGGTGACTTTGGGCCAGTCACAGACTCTCAGCCCAACCCACCTCACAGGGTTGTTGTTGTGGGGATAAGATGGAGGAGGAGGAGGATGTAAGCTGCCTTGAGCCCTTTGTAGGAAAAAGGCAGGGTATAAATCCAAAAATAAACAAACAAACAAACTGATATGGCAAGAAAATCCTTGAAGGGAATGACTGGCTATGAGGGTGGAGATGTCAAAAGAGGTTTGCGTCCTAGGACCACACGCTGAGGCACCTGGAAGGCAGACGATAGGCAGCTAATGGGCTGCACCTCAGAAAGCGCGGAAAGCACAGGCGTGAAAACATTCATCAGGAGGGCTTCAGACTGAAACGTGCAGGAGAGGGAGTTGTGCAGCGTGGGATTCCTTCACCTGAAAAAGACGTACATATTTCAACCAGAAGAAAACTCAAGCAGGGCCTAAGATCTGTTTCCGAAAACACATAAGAAGAAAACCAGGGCACAGCAAGGATGACCTTCACTGCCTGTACACCGATGCCCAGAGTATAGGAAGCAAACACACCAACTGGTGCTCACAGCATGCAAGAGCAATTATGATCTTTTAGGAAAACTAAAAACTGTTGAGATGCCCTACAGAGCTGGAACTCCACAACTGATAGAGACAACCTGCTCAAGAAAAACAGAAGGGACAAAAAGGGAGCTGGAGTCACCCTGTATGTAAGAGACACATAGAGAAACATGGAAACAGAGCGAGCCAGAAGGGGTCTCCCAGGCCATCTAGTCTGACCCCCGCTCCAGCCAGCTCTGCTCACAACATGCCCACCAGCCTGTCCTTGGACACGCTCCCCGATGGGACATCGACCACCTCCTGAGGAAGCCCATCCAATAGCTGCACAGGAATACAAGAAGACGAACTTAGAAGCCCCATTGAGAGCCTTCAGATATGTAAATTAGCAAAAACTTGACTAGATATAAAAACTATTAGGTGGATCAAAAATGGGCTGCTAAATTGGACTCAAAGGGTGCTATTCAAGGACACCTTCTCAAACTGGAGAGAGCTAATCAGTGGGATGCTGCCGGGTTCAGTCCGGGGCTCAGTGTTGTTCAACATCTTTATTAATGATTTAGCTGAGGGGGTACAAGAAACAATGATGGCATTTGCAGATGATGCAAAACTGAACTGAATGGTGAACACTGTGGGAGACAGAATGAAGATCCAGGGCACTCCTTGCACACTTGAACACTGGGCTGAAAACGACAGAATGCGGATCAGTAGGGACAAATGCCAAGTCCTCCACCCAGGAAAAATGCATTGGCACAAGATCGGGAACACCTGGCTCAACAGACCTGCAAAGGAAACAGACTTTGGAGTAATTGTGGACAACAGGCTAAAGATGAGCCAGCAATGTGATACAGCAGCGAGAAGGGCCAGTGCTATTTTGGGATGCATCAGTAAAAGCAACATTTCCAAATCATTGCTAGTTCCCTTTCACTGAGCCCTGGTTAGAAACATAGAAACAGAGCGAGTCAGAAGGGGCCTCCTGGGCCATCTAGTCTGACCACCGGCTCCAGCCAGCTCCGCTCACGACATGCCCACCATGTGGACGTCCAGCCTATCCTTGAACACCCGCACCGATGGGGCCTCAAGCACCTCTCGCGGAAGCCCATTCCACACCCTTGGGCTCCTGACTGTCAGGAAGTGCTTCCTGGCATCCAAGTTGAACCTTGGCTCCCTGAGCTTTGCTCTGTTGGGGCACATTCTGCCTTCCTCTGCAGGGGAGAACAGGTCTCTCCCCACCTCCGTGTGACACCCCTCACATACCTGTATGTCGCCAACAGATCCCCTCTGAGTCTCCTCCAGGCTGAAGAGACCCAGTTCCCTCAGTCTCGCCTCATACGGCACCCCCTGCAAACCGGCCACCAACCTTGTGGCCCTGCGCTGCACTGACTCCAACCTGGCTATATCCTTTCTGTAATGAGGGGCCCAAAACTGAGCACAATGCTCCAGTTGCAGGCACATCAGAGTCATATAGAGTGGCAGTAATACCTCTCTTGATCTAGAAGCCATGCTTCTGGCTATGCAACCCAGGGTGGCGTTCGTCCTCTTGACCACCGCATCGCACAGCTGGCTCATGTTCAGCCTGCAGTCACCAGCACCCCAAGGTCCCTTTCACAAGTGCTGCTCTCCAGCCACTTGTCCCCTAACCTGCACTTATGACAGCTATTCCTATGCCCCAAATGCAAGACCTTGAACTTGTCCGCATTGAATGCCATCCTGTTGTCTCCTGCCCACTTCCATAGTCTGTCCAGATCCTTTTGGATCTGGAGTACCTGCTCCTTAGTTGTGGCCACTGCCCAAGTTTTAGTGTCGTCTGCGAATTTGATCAGCAGACTGTTCATCTCTTCTTCCAGGTCATTGATGAAAAGATTAAACAGGCTCAGCCCCAGGACAGAACCCTGGGGGACCCCACTTGTCACTGGCTGCCATCCCGACGATTCCCCACTAATGGTTACCTTCTGCTTTCGGTCAGTCAACCATGCCCTAATCCATCTGACAGTGCTTTGGTGTATCCCAAAACTCCTCAGTTTCTCCACCAGGATATCATGGGGCACTTTGTCAAAGGCCTTGCTGAAATCCAGGTATACCACATCCACTGCATCCCCTCCATCTAGCCATCTCGAAACCTTGTCATAGAATTCCACAAGGTTTGCCTGGCAGGACCCGTTTTTGTGGAAGCCGTGTTGTGTGGCTGTCAGCCTCCCTTCCCTATCTAGCATCACTAGATCTCTCCCTATTATGGGCCTTTCCATTGTTTTTCCTACAATGGACGTAAGGCTAACAGGTCTGTAATTCCCCATGTCCCTTCTACTACCCTTTTTGAAAATTGGGACCACTGATGCCACCCTCCAGTCCTCTGGAACTTCACCCGTTCTCCACGAGGTCTCAAAAATGGAGGCCAGCGGGCGTGAGAGAACCCCTGCCAACTCTCTAAGTACTCTTGGGTGTAACCCATCAGGGCCTGGCACCTTTGCAATGTCCTATGCCCTGAGGAGCCCCTCGACTTCAAGGGGGTGACTCTAATCTGTGCCCCTAAGTCCCCAGCCTCATCTAATTTCCTGTGCGGATCTCCCCCGTCCTGCTTTGGGGAGAACACAGGGGCAAAATAGTCATTTAGCATCTGTGCCTGTTCCCTCATATCAGTCACTGGATCTCCTTCCTCCTTATTTAGTGGTCCCACCACTTGTCCCCCCTTCCTCTTCCTATTCACATGCTGAAAGAAGCCCTTTTTGTTGCTCTTGATATCCTTGGCAAGTCTCAGCTCGTAATCAGCCTTAGCCTTGCTAAGAATCCTTCTGCAACGGGCCTCCTCCGGGTACACCCTTTTGTCTATTTGCCCCAGTGCCCATTTCCTGCAGAGCTTCCTCTTGCATCTAACCCCGTTAGGCCTCTTCTGGAGTCCTGTGTCCAGTTCTGGGCACCGCAGCTGAAGAAAGATGCAGCCAAGCCGGAAGCGGCTCCAAGGGGGCAGCTGGTGGGTTGCTGCACCAGCTGATTCTCAGCAAAGGAGGTAGCCAAGAGTGGCTCGGTGGGCTCGAGGCCGCCTGTTTCAGACTTGGGCAACTGTAGCCCATGCGGGGGCAGCCGCTTGATGAAGGTGAAGTGCTGCAGCAGCCTTCAGCCAGGTGCCCCAACCCTCGTCGCCCTCCTCCCAGTCGGCTGCTTCGGGGACTGGAACGAGCCGCACGCAGCCCCACGAAGCCCTCTCAGCAGGGCGATTTCCAGCAGAACTCTGCCACTGGGCCTGGCGCAGGACGCAGGCACGCCAACAAGGAAAGCGCCCGGCTGCTGGAAGCGGTTGCAAGCAGCAAAACGGAGCAGCAGCGACCCCCCTCCTGAAAGACTCCTGCAGGCCCCCACAAGTGGGGCCTCGCTCAGTGCAGATCCTGCTGGTCATGGGGGCTGCGACGCACGCACCGCTTCTTTCTCTTTTTCTTTCTTTCTTTCTTTCTTTCTTTCTTTCTTTCTTTGTAAAACTTTTTGTATACTCGGCCACGCTGGCGCTCTGAACAGTTTATACACAATAAAATGCAGACATAATACAATCTATTCAGATTAACAAAACAAACAAATAAGCAAGCAATTAAACAATAAGAAGAAACAAAACAAATTACAACGGAATTTAAAATTTTATAAATACAAAACCCCAACAAAAACAAATAAAAACAGGAACCAGAAGAGAAAGTAAAATGAAGGCTGGGATGTGGATATTAATAAAATGCCGCTTAAACACTATTTTATTTATTTATTTATTTATTTATTAAAACATTTCTATGCCGCCCCTTGGCGAAGCCTCGGGGCGGCTCACAACACAAAATAAAATACAATAAAATACAAAAATAACAATATAAAATTCACAATATAAAATAACAATATAAAAGATTAAAATCCTGAGTGAATGCAAAAGGTTTTGCCTGGTGCCCAAACATGCCCAGCATCGCCCCAGGCACGCTTCTCCGGGGAGCGAATTCCGTAAGTGAGATGCCACGTCTGGAAAAGCTCTTCCCCGAGGCGATGGGTGGATGCGTCCCTCCGGATCCTCAGGTCTTAAGCCGTCCAGGGCTTCGTATGCTGGCACGGGCATCCTGAAGGGGGCTGGAGCACCGCTGGTAGCCAGCGGATTGTGCAGGACTGGCGGGATGTGATCTTGGCTGCCAGTCCCTGTAAGCAGCCGTGCGGCTCTGTTTTGTATGAACTGTAACTTCCGGAGCATTTTCAAGGGCAGCCCCACGTAAAGCACCGTCAAGTAGTCAAGCCAAGAGTTTAGCGGGACTTGGACTACTGTTCTCAGATTCTGTCTGTCCAGATCGGAACGAAGTTGATCGATCAACCGAAGCTGATGGAAGGTGCTTCTGGCTACAGAGCCCACCGGGTGCTGCAGGGATAATTGCGGGTCCAGAAGCCCCCTCAAACTCCAAACCCCGTCCTTTAGGGGGAGTGCAGCCCCATCAGGACTGCTCAAACATCAGCCCTCCAGCAAGGGAGCCACCTATCAACAGCACCTCCGTCTCGTCTGGATAGAGCTTCTGTTCATGGGCTCTCGTCCAGATGGCGACCCAGCCAGGCTCTGCTGCAGAACCATCAGGCCCCGCCTGGATGAGATGCAGGAGAGAGGCCGATCCGGGTGCCACCAGCATTCGAGCGGCCCCTCAGCCCAAACCGCCGGGTGACCTCGCCCAGAGGTTGCATGTAGACGCGGGGAAGAGTGGGGAATAATGAGGAGCCCGGGGGAGCTCGTGGCACAGGGGCCACAGTCCCCCAGCACCACCTTCGGGAAGTGGCCGGCCAAGGGGGAGCCGAACCGCGGCAGAGCAGGGCTTCCAACCCCCGACTCAGCCCGCCTATCCGGAAGGAAACCGTGGTCGCTGAGAGGCCCACGAGATTCCTCAGGGACGCCCCCACCCCGCCGCCCGTCTTTTCCCCGGCAGAGGCGATCCCGCAGGCGAGCGAGGCGCTGCAGTTCCAGCTCCAGGAGTCAAGCGGGCCTGGAAGGGGTCCAGGCGTCCCCCTCTGCCCGCTCCGGCCCGGCCCGGCCCGAGGCGCGGCAATCCGAAGGGGCGGGGCGGGGCGCGCCGAGGCTCCTCCTACCCCGGAGCCCCGCAGGGCGCCGCTGCTGCGCCCCCCACCGGCGGGCCGGGCGGGCCGGGGCGCGGCGGGACGCGGAGACGCGCGAGCGCCCCATTGGCTGCGCGGCTGCCTCTGGGCGTCGTCGGCACCGCGGCAGGCGCGGGGACGCGCGCGCGTGCTCCGTGCCGGCTGCAGGGAGGCGGCCGGGCGGAACGGGCCGGCGGAGCTGCTCGCCGCTTCCGGGCGCAGCGCAGCGCAGCGCAGCCTGCCGAGCCGGCGGCCCGCCGTGGTGCCGCGCGGCGCGCAGCCCATGGGGGAGAAGCGCATCCTGTGCGTGGGCCTCGTGTGCCTGGACATCATCAGCGTGGTGGAGCGCTACCCGGCCGAGGACTCGGACACCAGGTCCGCCCCGCTGCGCCCTTCCTGCCCCGGCGGCGGCGGCGTCGCGAGGGCCCTTCGCCCGCGAGCCCGAGCCCCGGAGGGTCCCGGGCGGCTGGGACTGAGGCGGCCCGCGGCTGTGTCCCCTCCTCGCCCCTACAGGTGCCTGTCGCAGCGCTGGCAGCGCGGGGGAAATGCCTCCAACACGTGCACGGTCCTGGCCCTGCTGGGCGCCCCGGCCGCCTTCATGGGCTCGCTGGCCCCCGGCCACGCCGCAGAGTAAGTACCGCACCGGGCGGGGGGAGGCGGCATGCGGGCTTCTCCGCGCCCAGCGGCCTCGAGGGCGAGGGAAAGGGCCCGCCGGGCGGCCCGCAAGCCCCGGCTCCACGCGCTCCCCGCCCTGCTGCCCGTCGCGCGCTGCCGGTGGCTCTGGCAGGGGAGGCCGCCGAGGCAGGCGGGCCGCCAGCCGGGATCGCACCTGGGATGGCGGAAGACGTACAATTCTCGTCCCTCTCCCCTTTCCAGAAAACCTCCAGAGTACCTTTCCATGGCGCCCCCCTCCCTGCTGCCCCCCCAGAATAGTTTAGCAAAGCCAGTTAGCAAAGCCCTGCGCGATGGAGTGGCCTGTGTTCTGGCACCGTCAAGCTCAGTGGCAGAAGGAAGGCCCCGTGCATAGCAGAAATTTGGGGGTGAAATCCTATGCAAGTTTGGGCAGAAAAAACGACTGATGTGCATCGGGTTGCCCCTAACCGTGAGAGGTCAGGCGCTTCCCTAGGCTTGGCCCTGCCCCCCCCCCCCCGCCCCCGGGCAGAAGGGGCATCTCTGGCCATCCGCGGGTGGGCCAGGGGTAGGGGAACCGAGGGAGAGAGGGAAAGGTGCGTGCAGTCTGCCCATCCACAGAAGACGGGAGAGCCGCGGAGCAGGGCTGTCGCCTGCCTGGTGGCAAGGAACGTGCGACTTCTGGGCGAGGGCGCTTCGGCCTCACCGCAGGCTGCTAACAGCAGAGTTTTAAGTTCTGTGTATCACCCGACGATCCAGGGCTGAGCCGGAAATGTGTTTGTGCCCCTGGGGGAGGGCATTTGCCGCAAGGGGGCTGGCTGGCTCTCGAAAACTCCTTGCCTCAGAAAGCAGGGCCTCCTTTCCAAAAGCAGGGCCTTATATCAGCGGAGCAGGGAGCCAGAGCAGGTGGGCCTGCACTCGGCTGCCAGCCTGGCAGCGCCAGGAAGAGGCCAGCCCAGAGTTCAGCGCCAGACGCGTGCTCAGCCTTAAAGTCCCCCTTCCAGTTGAGGTGCGTAGATGCCACGACGAAACACCAGGCACCAGGCCCGCCTCACTAAGCACACATGCCACATGGGTCAGTCTGTATCTGGGTTTGTATGAAAACTCTGCTTTCCCAGTTAAGAAGAATAAAACCTTAAGCTTTAATTCTAAAAGAAATGTGCTAGGTTCTATTTTTATTCGGCTCCTCTTCCTCCGGACTGAGCTGTTTGGCTTGTTTTGTTATTGCTGGAGGCCGCATTCCCCAGCAGTCCCGGCCACGAAGACGTGGGCTCAGGCGCCCCTTCCTGCTGTCTGGCCTGGGGAGCACTTCAGGGACCGAGGCTCTGCACAAATTCGCGACGCCGGAACGCGCAGCTGCGCTGCAGCAGGGAAGCCGGCTGGCCGAACGGCAAGGGCGCTTCCACACAGCAGTGCCCGACCGGGGTCTGCACACTCCTGCAAGCATCGCGTGCGAACAAGCACCCGCCGGCGTGGCCGGATCGCTCGTTGACTGCAGTTTGTTTGCACAAGGCGCAGTCCTGTGCAGGCTTGACGGGAGCCCCCCCCCCCCCCCCTGTGCCGGCCAGGCCTCTTGGAATTGAAGCCGTTCTCAGTCCAAGCTTGCAGGAGATCATGGCCGTCGTCATGCCGAGCGCCGCTGTGCTGCTGATCTTGTGTGTACTGACCTGAACGGTCACAGATTCCAGCTCGTTTGCGTTTCCTTGCCATTTGAACTCTCAGCGTCCCTGTTTCCATATATGTGTGCGCACGGGCACATGTGCAGATGTGGCGCCTGTACCCATCAAGTGGGACAGCGCTCTGCATACCTGAAGTGAGGGGCGCCATGCAGCGGGGCGAGATGTGGGCAGGGCTCCCTCCTCTCGCTGTGGCGATCCGTGGAACGGGCCTGGCCAGCGAGGCGGCAGCCTGGAGGACGCGTGGCTCCCACGGGGCCGGGGTCGCCTGCAGGTAGCCATGGGTGGCGTTGCCGTGCCTGCCCTTGGTTCCCAGGCGAGCAGCTGGCCGCCCTGCGTGTGCTTGCCGGAAGCCCCGTGCCCCCCGCCCCGGCTGAGCCACGGGCCACGGCCGAGGCAGGTTGCAGGCCGGTGCCTCTGGAGGGCTGCGAGCCGCAACGCCACGCAGGTGCTGTGTGGCTGCCCCGAGTGGCCGTGCGGGTGTTCTCGGAGCACGGGGCAGTGGCCTCGGGCGCCAGGCTGTGGGGGGCTTTGCTGGAGCTGCGGTCTCCTCAGGTCGTTCCCTGGGTCCCCGCGCCCGTGGGGGAGGCCTGCCCGCAGCTCCACGGAGCGCCCCAGAGGCTGACTTTCTCTGTCCACCCAGCTTCGTCCGGGACGACTTCCGGCGCTACGAGGTGGACCTCACCCACATGGCCGTGCGCCCGGCGTGCGCCTTGCCCGCCTCAGTGGTGATCAGCAACGCGGCGACGGGCTCCCGCACCATCCTGCACGCGGCGAGGTGCGTAGGCCCAGCGGCCCCCTCACCATCTAACCTCTTTCTCTCGCCTTCCCGCGCCCCAAGCTTCATCCTGTCCGATTTCCAGCGCCGCAGCGTGGATGTCACTCACCTGGTCTGGCAGAGCCGGGGGGAGACGCCGTGTGCCTGCTGCCTCGTCAATTGCCGCACCGGCTCCCGGACAGTCACTCTCCACGACACGTAAGGCCTGGCCCGGCTTGGCCGCCGCCACCTCCCCCTGCCAGTGGGTGGCACCAGAGGGCTCGCGGCCGTCTGCCAAGGCCCGGTCAGGCCAGGCAGTGTGTGACGGGCTGGGGGGGCAGCCTGCTCCAGCAACCCCCGAGATGGCGCCAGGGCCGGTTCGCGCTCTCACGCCTCTGGGCATGAGCAAGCGGAGCCTTTTCCCCCGGGCGTGGGGTCCGGCGCCTCCCCAAGGCTCGCGTGTCTTCAGCAGAGCGGCCTGTTGCTTGCGCTCCGCCTGGAGGGGCCCCTGGCCGTGCAGCCCCCGTCTGGAGAAGGGCACTCTCGGCAAGGGCCCCGAACTGCTGGGCTGCTGCATGGAACAGCTGCATTCTTCGGCTGCAGCATCTGGATGCCGCTGGCGTTTGCGAAGCAGCTGAGCACCTTGGGCTCAGCTGGATGATCTCATGGCCCTTTGAGGCTCCCGTATTATTGGTCCTGCTGCTCTAGAGAAGGGCCCGGCCCATTTCCTGCTGGCCCTTCAGCTCCCCAGTGCCCCTGGTTCTCTCCCTTCACCTCTGGACTCGGGGCTTGGGTCCCTCCCGGGGTGCCTCCACATGCCGGCCCCGTGGCCCCAGCACACGGGAGCTCTTGGGCCTGCTGCCCCTCCACGCGGCCCAGGCATGGGCTCGGGTTCGGCCCTTTGGGGCACTCGGCAGGGGAGGCACCCCCAGGCAGGGCCTCCCCCCCCCCCCCCCCGCCCCCCCCCCGGCTTATGCCTCTGGGGTCAGCATGACGTGCCTGTGGGGGTAGAGGGGGCTTCCTGCCCCTTGCGGCTGCTGTGGGGCAGCTCCCCTCAGCAGGGTGGCCGGAGGTGGAGGCCCCTGGCCTGCACAAAATGCCCCCCCCACCGCCTGGAGACCACGTCCACCGCAACCTCTCTGCAGCCCTTTTGCGGCCAGAGCCCGTATACTGTGCACCTTTGGACTTGGCCGGCTGGCGAGGCAGCGCTTCGAGGCACGAGGCTTGGGCCAACGGCAAGAGTGCTTCCTCCCCCCGGCCCCATGGGGAGCCTGGAGGGAGGCAGGGGCGCATGCCTCGTGCCCCTCCTCGCCCGCATTCCCTGGGAGCACGTCAACGATTAACCCAAAGGCACTCCAAGAGTGCAAAGGGCGCTCGGTGGTGCAAGCCCTTTCAGCACCAGAGAGGGCACGGGGGGCCTCTTCAAGCCCCCCCTTTCCCGGCACCCAGGCAGATCGGATCCTGAAGCATGTCAAGCTGTGCCGAGTGCCGTTCAGAGCGGCTCCTCCGTCGCCACGGGTCCCCGGGCCAGTGGGCCACCCCAACTGCAGGATGCAGCTGCGGGGCAGAGCGGCAGGAGCCGCCGGGCCGGCCCGGCCCGGCCCAGGGATCCTCCGCCAAGGCTTGCTGGAGCAGGGGGTGGGGTGCCTGGTCACTGCCAGCCCCGCGAGGGACCCAAGAGTGTCGCCATCCACTGGGAGGAAAAAAGGCCGCCACTGCATGCGCAATCGAGAGCTCATCCACAAGTAATTCTTGGTAGATTAATTGGCAGATTAATTCTTGGTAGATGAATTGCTGACTCAACACAATGCCATCCAATCAGCTTCATAAGTGGCTAATTCCAGAGCGTCCTCCGGGGAATGAAAGTGGGTTCTTATAAGGATCACTGACTGGTTAATGAACAGACGGTGGAGGGTGGGAATACATGGCACCTTCTCCTGATGAAGGGCTGACCTGTGGAGTCCCGCGTGGTTCTGTAGTGGGGCCAGTGCTTTTAGAAACATAGAAACATAGAGTCAGGAGGGGACTCCTGGGCCATCTAGTCTGACCCCTGGCTCCAGCCAGCTCCACACGACATGCCCACCATGTGCACGTCCAGCCTATCGTTGAACACCTGCACCGATGGGGCCTCAACCATCTCCTGTGGAAGCCCATTCCACACCCTGGGGGTCCTGACTGTCAGGAAGTGCTTCCTGGCATCCACCCTAAATCTTGGCTCCCTCAGCCTTCATTGGAATGCGTCCTGCCCTCCACCATGGGAAAAACGGTCATGACCCACCTCTGTGTGGCACCCCCTCACATACCTGCATGTCGCCACAGATCCCCTCTGAGTCTCCTCCAGGCTGAAGAGACCCAGTTCCCTCAGTCTCGCCTCATACGGCTTCCCCTGCAAACCGGCCACCAACCTTGTGGCCCTACGCTGCACTGACTCTAACTTGGCTATATCCTTCCTGTAATGAGGGGCCCAAAACCGAACACAATACTCCAGTTGCAGGTGCACCAGAGTCGTACAGAGGGGCAGTAACCTCTCTCGCTTCTGGTTATGCAACCAAGGGTGGCGTTCGCCCTCTCGGCCACGGCATCGCACGGCTGGCTCACGTTCAGCCTGCAGCCGACCAGCCCCCCGAGGTCCCTTTTGCAAGTGCTGCTCTCCAGCCACTTGTCCCCTAACCTGCACTTATGACACCCATTCCTAGGCCCCAAGTGTATAATTTTACATGCCTCTGCCGGATCGCTACTCCTCATTCTTTTCAGAGCTGAAGGTCTCCAAGCCTTGTTACCTCTCCTCACCCAGGCGTTGTCCCCCCCCCCCCCCCCACAAGATCTTGCTGCCCGCTCAGGCTTTGTGAGTCCTGCCACGTCCTTCTGCGCTGGGCGATCAGAATGCGGCAGCGCATTCCAAATAGGGTTTCCTTTTGATCATGGATGGGGCCTCTCCATTAATGCCAAAAGACCACTGACAGGCTCTCCAGTCCTAGGACCAGGACGGAGGGTCTTGGGCAAGTGGAAGCAGCCTCCACAGGGGCGCATGCCTCTCCCCCTCTCCTCGGAGACCCAGGTCATCCCTTGCTAGCTGTGGGAATTGTAGGCCATTAGGGTGGGATTGCTGTGCTTGGTAAGCATTGTCTGCACAGCTTCCAAGTCATGAAGACTCGTCGGAGAGCAGTGGCCCCGGACTGAACCTGCAGGACCCCACTTGCTACCTCTCCCCAGTCGGAGAAGGGGGCATTGATTTTTTTTCTCTTTTTAAAAATGATGTTTCCAACATATGAGAAGGTGCCACTGATGAGCACTCTTGGAGTCCAATTCTGCAGCCAACTCTGGCTTCACTTGATCAATGTTCTATCCAGCCCACTTCTAGTGAGGTTTCTGATCACGATGCCATGGGGCACTTTGTCAAAAGCTTTGCAGAAGGAAAGCTAGATCAGGTCCACCCTGTTCCCACAGTCCATCAGGCAGGCTACCCAGTCAAAAAACCAGATTAGTTTGGCAGAATTTGTTCTTGAGAAATACATGTTGGCTTCTAGTAGTAACTGCGCTGTTTTCAAGATACTTGTAGACTGACTGCTTCACCATCTGCTCCAGACTGCCTGGTCTGCAGTTCCCAGGTCCTTCATTTCTTTCCTGCTGGAAGATGGGGCAGCACTGGCCCATCTCCAGGCATCTGGCACGCCCCCTGCCCTCCACAGGGCCCTGGGGACTGGCACTCATGGTCCTTGGCCCTTTTCCTGCCAGTCCGGAGCTGCCCTCCCGCACCCTCAGCAGGCTCTTCCCCCTCGTCAGGAAGCCCCGGCTCTTCTTCCAGGAGAAGATGGGGCCAAAGGAGGAGCTGAGCGCTTCCACCCTTTCTCTGCCATCATCGTTTTGGGCTCCACACTGAGTGGCTGGCCCCCATTTCTTGGCTCTGTCTTCTACTTTGGACATACCTGAGGAAGGCCCGTTCGCTGCTTCTCGCATCCCTCGCGGCCTCGGCCCCTGCCCAGCTTTGGCGCTCCTGGCACCATGCCTGCAATCGCATGCTACCTGCCTACAAAGCACGTGTCTTTGTAGCACGCATACCTGCCCATATCTGTGGGTTCAGTTACGACGTTTTCACTTAACCATGATTGATCCCAGTCCAAAGGAGTTGTCATAAAGTGCTTCCTTTAAGTGAGAATTCTCGATTTAATAGGGAAAGAGAAAATATCACAGTTGCTAGGATGTATGGGAAGAACGACTCCTGTTGGCGAAATTGTGAAAAAAGAAATGTACATGGATAGTGTACAGTACTATTACCCGTGGTTTCAGGCTTCCACTGGGGGCTTGGAGCCTCCCCCCACAGATATGGGGGTCCTGCCATGCTCCTGCTTTGTAGCCCGCCCTGCCTGCCTTCCGCTTCCTGTGCGTGTCCTTTCTTGCTTTCAGATCACCTTTCTGTGAGGCCACGTGGGCTGCTTCCGTTGTCGTCCACCCTTTTCCTTGCTGGAGTTGCTTGCACTTGTGCCTTTCGAATTTCCTTTCTTAAAAATCCCCACCCACCTTGGACTCCATTTCTCATTTGCCAAGGAACTTCATTTATCATTATTTGGAGTTTATTAAAATGGGCTTTCTTGAAATGCAGGGTGCATGCTTGGCTGCATGCAGCTTCTGCTGCCTTTAGAACCAGGGATTCAGGCGAGGCATGGTCACCTGGCCACGCTGGACTGGCGCTCGGAGGTTTGCCCCACTCCATGCAAGCCCTGCTAGCCAGGATGCTGGTTCGCCGTGCTGGGCCTGGAGGGGCCAGGGCCTTCTCCATGTACGCCTGTGGGCCACTGGGTCAGCCCACTGCTCAGCACAGGACACCGAGCTGCGGCAGATGCCTCATGGCTGACGGGGCAGGAGGAAAATCTAACAATCAGCTAACCATCCCTCTGCCCAGCTGCATCTTGGGCGCCTGTAGTGGGAGCGCCCATGGCCTGCCTGGGTCGCAGGTTCCATTGGGTCCAGACTGGACATCCTGTGAGATGGGAAAGGCGTCTCCTTGTTCCGAGGCCATCCGCCTTTTGCCACCGGAATCCACTCGCGCCGCTCAGGGGCGTCTCTCCCCATCCTGCACCTCTGGGGCATACAGACAGGGCTGTGGGAACGGACCGCAGGGTGGGAGGTCCTCTGGCCTGCCTGCGGCCAGGGATTTCGCGCTGTCCGGCCTCAGTCCTTCATGCCGGGCTTCCTGCTGGGCGCCTGGCTGGGAGAGGGAGCCCCCGAGGCCTCGCGTGTGTCTCACGAGCCTTTCTGCTCCGCCCACCCTGCGCACAGCAACCTGCCGGATGTGACAGCTGCAGATTTTGAGCGGGTCGACCTGTCGCAGTACAAGTGGATCCACTGGGAGGTGAGTGGCTCCTGGCTCGGGCAGGTGGGGCCCGGTGGCAGCACTGCTCTGCCCCTGCAGCATGGGAGGCGGCCAGGAGGCCCGGGCGGGCAGCCGTGGTGCGTGGGCAGCCTCCTGCGCAGAGGGCTGGCGCTCGGCGGGGACGGGTGGCCAGGAGTGGCTCAGGCTGCAACTCCCCCCACGGGCTCGTGGCTCTCACTGGCTTGCCAACCCTCCTTTGAGGAGGCGGTGCCGCTCCAGAGCGCAAGTTCCCAGCACAGCGAACGACATGAGGGCAGGGCCACCTTCTCCTAGACGGGCGAGAGCAGAGGGGTGCACGGAAGGGAAAGCCACGAGCACGAGGGCAGGCCAAAGGAGGCACCGAGCAGGAGGGCGCCTCGCTGCGTCCCCCTGGCGGAGCCACAGGCCTCCTGGGAAGGCGCTCCTGGCCCTCCGCCTCATGGGGGCCACCTCCCACCCACGCAGCAGGGTCCCTCGGGCAGGACTTCGGGGGATTTTGCAGGGCTCTCCGGGGGAGGCGGTCCCAGGAGCAGGCAGGCCGGGGGGGGGGTCGGGGGCAGCTGGGCAGGCCCCCCTGGGGTGCCACTTGTGCCCCTGGGCTGTGCGTGAGGTTGCCTCTGCCGGCTGCCCCGCCACACCCCCCCCCGGCCACTGTGGCCTGGCCCGGCCCCACGCAGAGCCCTGCAGTGCCCCGGCCCAGAAGCCACTGAAGCGGCCGCCAGTGGCCCGTCACAGGGCGGACGTGGCCGGGCAGGGCAGAGCGAGAGCGGGTCGGCCGCTCCTGGGGGCGCCTCGAACCCGGCAGCGCCGGCCCGTGGGCCCCGCCAAGCACAACCCTCTCCCTCCCAGGGCAGGAACGCCTCAGAGCAGGTGAAGATGCTGCAGCGCGTGGAGGCGCACAACCGGGGCGTCCCGGCCGTGGAGCGCGTGGCCACGTCCGTGGAGGTGGAGAAGCCCCGGCCGGAACTGTACCAGCTCTTTTCCCATGGAGACGTGGTAGGGGCCAGGCAGCAGAGAGAGCAGGCCGCCCTCCCGGCACGGGGCTGCCAGAGGGGCGCCGAGCGGCCTCGGCTCCCCCCGCCCCACGCCGAGGGCGCCCCATCCTGCCCGCTGCCCCGCACGCTCGCCAGGCCTGAGGGGGCCCCGGGGCAGCGCGAGGCGGACGGCGACCTGCCGTGCTCCTTCTCCCTGCAGGTGTTTGTCAGCAAGGACGTGGCCAGGGAGCTGGGCTTCCCCTCGGCCGCCGAGGCCGTGAGGGGGCTGTTTAAGCGCGTGAGACCCGGGTAAGTGAGGCCCCCGGGTTGGGCGAGGTGGGGGTCCCCTCCAGTGGCCTCGCACTGCAGGCAGAGCGGAGAGCGCCTCCCGTGGCAGCCCCCTCCACGGGGCTGGCCTCGCGGCTCCCCGTCCGGGGAAGGCCGCTGGGGGGCAACAGGAGCGGGGGGCAGACCGGGCCAACACTTGGGCTGCGGGGCCGGAAGCCTCACTGCATGGGCTGGGGGCCCCGGCTGCTTGGATGGGGCTGCGACCCCGCCAGGGGCCCTGGAAGGAGCCAGTGGTGCTGGGCTGGAGGGGCCGGGTTCCCATGAGAGCCCCAGGCCCACTCGGCGGTCCTGCGGCTTTGGGATGGGAGACCACTGCCAGCCGAGACCCTTCTGGGTGGGGTTCCTCCTCCTCTTGGGGGCGGGGTGGGTGGGGCTGCAGCCCCCTCGGCAGACGCCCCTGCGGGAGCAAGGCCTGCCGCTTCCAGCCGCCACTCCCCAGAAAGCCCCTCGCGGGTCAGAAGCAAGCCAGGTGAGGCAGGGGCCTTGCTCGGCCCCGTGGCCTGAGGGGAGGAGGGGGCCGGGGGCAGGGCATGCAGGCCAGGGGGAACCCGGGAGGACGTGTGCCGTGCATCAGGGCAGAGGCCTGGCCACGGGGCCCTCCCTGTGCCGGAGCCCTTCCTGCGCCCCATCCAGGCGCCCCACCTCATGCCCCCCTCCCCAGGGCCACCCTGATTTGCGCCTGGGGGGAGGCCGGCGCAGACGCGATGGGGCCGGACGAGGAGCTGCTGCACGCGGACGCCGTCGCCCCCGAGCGGGTGGTGGACACCCTTGGCGCGGGAGACACCTTCAACGCGGCGGTGATCCTGGCGCTCAGCAGGGGTGAGTTGGGGTGCCACACGCCACGGGGGGCTGGGGGCCTGTGCTCCTGGGCTGTGGAACGGCAGCGGCGGGGGCATCGGGGCAGGGAGCTGACCCCACCGTCTGCTCTGGGCAGGGAGGCCTCTCGCCGCAGCTCTGAACTACGGGTGCCAGGTGGCTGGCCGGAAGTGTGGTGTGCACGGCTACGACGGGATCGTGTGAGCGTGCACGGAAGCCACGGCTCCCCGCAGCGTGGCTGCTTCCACGGGCGGGGGCGCCTCGGGCAAGCCCTCTGCCTGCCTGCACGGGCTCCCCCTTGCCAGGGGGTCTGGCCCCCGGGCCGCTCGCAAGTTGGGACCAATAAAGCTCTTGAACCTCCCGCTGTCCGCTGTGCGAGAAGCGCGGGGTGGTGGCTGGACACGCGTGCCGGAGAACGCACTGTGGGCACGCCTGCTGCGGCTGGGGTTGGGCTGCCGGGCCGAGCAGGGTAGGAAGGGGGCGTGCTGGGCTTGGGAGGATCTCAAACAGGGCCTGGCCCCGCTCAGACGGCTCCCACTGCAGACGCTGCTTCCAGGAAGCTCAGGATGCAGGACACCGGCTGGCCGGGTTGCCCCACACTCTTGCCTGCCCCCCACAGATGCCCTGCAACTCTGGCTAGAGAGCAGCACTTGCGAAAGGGACTTGCGGTGGCCAAGAGGGCGAACGCCACCCTCAGTTGCACAGCCAGAAGCGTGGCTTCTAGATCGAGAGAGGTATCACTGCCACTCTACATGACTCTGGTGCGCCCGCAACTGGAGCCTTGTGCTCAGTTTTGGGCTCCTCGTTACAGGAAGGATATAGCCAGGTTGGAGCCAGTGCAGCGAAGGGCCACAAGGTTGGTGGCCGGTTTGCAGGGGATGCCGTATGAGGCGAGATGGAGGGAACTGGGTCTCTTCAGCCTGGAGGAGAGGAGACTCAGAGGGGATCTGTTGGTGACAACCAGGTATGTGAGCGGTGTCCCACGGAGGTGGGTAGAGACCTGTTCTCCCCTGCAGAGGAAGGCAGGACGCGCTCCAATGGAGCCAAGCTCAGGGAACCCAGGTTCCATTTGGATGCCAGGGAGCATTTCCTGACAGTCAGGACCCCGAGGGTGTGCAATGGGCTTCCACGAGAGGTGGTTGAAGCCCCATCGGTGCGGGTGTTCAAAGATAGGCTGGATGTGCACATGGTGGGCATGTCGTGAGTGGGGTCGGCTGGAGCCGGAGGTCAGACTAGATGGCTTGGGAGGCCCCTTCTGATTCGCTCTGTTTCTATGTTTCTAACTCGTGGTTCCCAGATCCTAGGGCAGAAGTGTTTGCATTTCAACAGACTTTATTGGCAGATGGGGGGGGGATGGGGTGGCACTCACCCTGCTGTACTGTGGGGCACCCCCTCTGTGACGGGCCTTGCCCGGGATGACCTGGCGGGCACAGCACTGGCCTTGCGCCCCCCACGCTCGCCGGACCCAGCTCGCCTCGCCCTGCCCGAACGCGCTTCAGCCCCCTGCGGACGGGGGTGCCTCAGCCCCCTCCTGCTGCGGCTGCGGCTGGTCCTGGCCTGCCCCCTCCGTGTGCTTCAGAGAGGGGGCCTCCATCTGCCCCTGCGGCTGCGCAGTCTGCGGCACGGCGGGGGCCTCTCCGGGGCCCTCCCGGCCATGGGGGCCTGGGGGACTAGCCCGGGGCTCCTCGGCGGGGGAGGCAGCCCACAGCACGGCCCACTCCTCGGCAGCGGGGGCTCCGGGGGGGGGCGGGCCCTGCCAGGGCCCAAGGAACAGCTCGGAGGGCTCCAGCTCTCCATCCCGGTTGAAGTCCCAGCTCTCCAGCATCCTGTCCACCATCAGCACCACCTGCAGGGGTAGAGGAGGAGCCAGGCAGCGTGGCTCTCGCTCCCGTGCGGCAGCCAAGCGGGGGGTGGCACTGGGGGCACTCCCTCTGGCAGTGCACCCTGGGCGGCCGCATCCTCCGGCAGGGGCCCGTCCAGTCCGAGCCGCCGCAGCTGCTGCACCCACCTCCAGCGGCAGCCATTTCCGGGGCCTGGCGCAGCCTGCCGTACCCGGCACCGGCTTTTGCCTCGTCCGTCCTGGTCTGGCCCAAGGCAGCCCAGCGCTTCTGCCGTGAAGGCCATGGGCCTCCTCAGCCGGAGTGAACGGCAGCCCCAGAGGGAGGAGCCGTGGGGCAGCTGGGAGCCCAGGATGTCTCCCCCAAGCACTGCTAGTTGCACAGCCGGCCCGGCCCTGACGTCCTGGGGGACTGGAGGGGCAGGAGGTGTGGTGCCGCTGGCCCTGCTGTAGGGGCCCTGGGCCAGCCCCCCAGCCTGGAGCCTGGCTGAGCTGCGGCCGCTGCATGAAAGGCCCCCGAGAAGGACGCCCCCCAGCCCCACAGGTCAGGCCCAGAGCCGGCCGGCCAGCGCTCTGCTCCCACGGGAGCCACGCATGGGAGAGGCCTGCAACGGTGTCCCTGCCATGATCCCCAGCAACTGGGAGCCGGGTCCGTGGCTTCCTGCTTCATGTCTTAAGCGGCTGTCCCTGAAGCTCAGCAGATGGGAGGGCATGCCCAGGGCAACGAGGCATTCCCTGGCCAGCAGCACCTGCCCCCACAGCTGGCACAGGAGGGATCTGTCCCACAGAGTAGCTGGGGGGGGGGGGAGCCCCGACCCCTCCAGGCTCCGCCTCGGCTCCCTTAGCCAAACCGCCCCGCCAGGGGTCGGGGTGGAACCGGGCCTACCTGGTCGGGTGCAGGATCTCCACGGGCCTGCGGGGACGCCAGCCTGCTCAGCAACCACAGGAGCTGCAGGCCGTCCAGCCGGCCACTGTGGTCCGCATCGTGGAGAGCGATGAGCCGCGCGAGAGCTGCCGGCAGGAGGAGGCGGGTGAGCCCAAAGGGGCAGGGGCCCGACCGGAGCCCCCGGCTGCGGGGCGACCCCCTGTTGCAGGCACAGCGCCCCCACCCACGTCTCCTGCCAGCCCCACGGGAAGCCGCTGCCCCCTCTGCTGCTCAGCCACTGGACGGGGGTTCCTGGGAAGCCCCTCCCACCACAGCACCCCTCGTGGGAGAAGGGGGCTTCTGGAACACCGCCACAGATGTCCAGAAGCCCCCTCCAGGTGGAGCTGGCCAGGCCCCTGCGAGAGCCGAGAGGAAGCGAGGCCCCCGGACGCCCCAGGGACCCGGCCGGCGGGCTTCTGTCAGCGCAGGGCTTGCGAGGCGGAAGGGTGGGAGGGGGGCGTGCGGCAGCCGTGCGGGGCCAGGCCAGCACAAGCAGCCAGTGCGGCTTCACCTGCGATCGCCCTGAGGCTCGCTGTGGATGCCAAAGCAGGCCGTGCACATCCCGCGCTCCTTGGCAGCTTCCACGAGACGCAAGCGATCCCGTTTTGGAGGGGCAGCGGGAGGTGGCTGATGACACGGCCCAGAGGGAGCCCCGCCAGCCGGAAGGCATGCCCTGGGTGCAGCCCCTGCCCTTCAGGCCCGCAAGCAGAAATGTGCTGCACTTAGCTGGGCATGCCCCCCCCCCCCCCCCCGCTGAGGCTGGGTGTCCTTCGCTCAGCTGCTCAGGAAAGCGCGTTCCCGCAGTTTGCGACGTTGTGTGCTGCAGGATTCCCAGCGTGCGCCCCCTCCCCCCCCCCGTGAAGGCCGCCTCCCGGGGCCTGCCAGATGGCCAGCACTGCAACTCCGGCACCCACCCCAGGCCGGCCACATCTGGAGCCTGCAGCCTGTGCTCCTTGCTGCCGCCTGGAGCAGCCCTTCCCCACCCGGAGGAAAGAGCCGCTGGGGCGAGGAAGGGCTGCCCCAGGCGAAGCCCCATCCTTGCGGTGGCCCCAGGCCAGGCCAGGAGCAGGCAAGCTCCCCCGCGGCCCCTCGCCGCCCGCGAGCGCCTGCCTCCCTCCGTGGCTCACCTTGCTCTCTGCTCGGGGCACCCGAGTCGCTGTCCTGCCCAGCAGCCCCCAGGGGGTCCTGCAGCACCCTAGGAAGGCCAAGCCGCGGGTCAGAAGCCGCGCAAGGAGGGCTCCCCCACAGACAGGCATGGGGCCAGCGAAGATGCACGGAGAGGGGGCCGCGTCCTCCGCAGGGGAAGCGGTTACGCGCTCCGCAAGCCCTGCAATGACCCCGTAGGGCGGCGGGGGCACTCTGCACATGCTCAGAGACAAATCGCGGCCGTGGGGCTGACACGTGCTGCAAAGAGCCCTGCGTGGGCACCGGAAACTCACCCGCCCGACTCGCCCAGGGAGAGGGCAGCGCGGCGGGGAGGCGCGCACCCCCCTGCCAGCCGCCCCTCGCCCGGGGGTGGGCTGTGCCGCATCCGGGCCACCGGCCTTCCCCGCAGGGGGGCCGCCGCCGGGCGTGGGGCAGGGCTGGGGCGCCCAGGGGGCGATCACCCAGGGACGCCCCCCGCACGCAGGGCGCGGGGCGATGCGCGCGCCGCCCGAACGGGGCCACGGCCCCCCGCGCCGCAGCCCTGCCCCCCCCCCCGGTACCTGGGCGGGTCTTCCTTCGGGGCTGCCCGGCCGGCCGGCGGCGCCAGCAGCAGCCAGGCAGCCAGGAGCAGCGGCGGCCCGGGCCTCATGCCGGCGTCCCGCGGGGCTCGGCGGGCGGCGGCGCTGCGTGGCGGAGTCGCGCGGCGGCGGAAAGGCCCCGCGAAGGCGGGCGCGGAAAGGCCCGGGCGGGGAGCAGCGCGCCCGCCCCCTTCCCGAGTACGCGGCCCTGGAGGAGGGGCCCCTGCGGGGGGGCCGCCCGCGGAGAGAGCAGCCCCCCCGCCCGCGGCGCGCGCCACGTGGCCGAGAGGGCAGCGCTCGCCCCCCCCCCCGCGCTGCGGCCCACGGGGATCCCGCGGAGGCCGGGAAGGCGGCACGTGGCAGGCCAGCCTCGCCCAGCGCTCGCCTCCGGCCCCCGGGCCGTCCGAGGAGGGGCTGGGCTCTCAGGCCCCGCAGGAGAAGGGCCCCTCCGGCAGCCAGCCTTTAACCCCCCCCCCCCCCCACCGAAGGAAGCAGGACAGCAGCCAGGGGAGGGTTTGGGGGGGGGGGCGCTAGCAGAGCAGCAGGGTGGAAGGTGGCCTTGCGGCCGGCAGGGACCACCTGCAGGGCAGGGCCTGTCCGGGTTCACAGCCCCCACAAGGGGCCCCCAGCCCACCTCCTCGCCAGCCCACAAACCCCAGGGTGGGAGCACCAGTTCGGGGTGACAGGAGCTGGGGCGCTTCGGGGGACCGTTCGCTGCCTCGCAGTCGCCCGAACGCTCGGCCAGCCGCCAGGGAAGGCTCGCCCTCCCTCCGATGGGGACGGGGGGCAGGAGTGGAGTGGCCGCCACGTGGCTTCCGCACTGCCACGGGCAGCGGTGGTGGCTGCACAGCGCAGGCCCGGCCACGGGCTTTTCCGCCCACTGAGGTTTGGAGTGGGACTGCGAGGGCCACGGCCTTTGCCATCAGCCCCCCAAGCCTCGGCGTAGCCTCCGGCATTCTGCAAACCTTGAGGGCATGGAGAGCCCCCGCCCAGGTGAGCTGCTCGAACCCGTGTGACCATGCAAGGACAGGGGGCCTCCTTCAGGACATCGCTGGTCTTGAGCCTTGGCATTTCTGCACTTTGGGCCGAATCCAAAGGGTTGGAGAGATCCAACGCCTCCCTCCCTGCGGAATCCACCCTGCAAGCGCAGTGCAGAGACCCCGACCCCTTCAGCAAGAACACTTTTAGTTCGACGTCAATCCCTGGAAAAGTTCTGGAGCAAATTATTAAAAATCAGTCTGCAAGCACCTAATAAAAGCCAGCATGGATTTATCAAGAATGGATCCTGTCAGACTAATTTAATCTCATATTTTGACTGGGTAACCTCCCAAATGGACAGTGGAAACATTGTGGACATAATCTACAATTTCAGCATAGTGCCTTATGACATCCGGACAAGCAAAGAATGGATTAGGCAGAAACACTGTTAGGCAGATCCAAACCCGGCTCCTAGATCGGCCACAAAGAGCGCTCACTAATGGCAAACTGGAGGGGGTGCCACAGGGCTCAGCCCTAGGCAGGCCCAGTGCATTTAAACATCGTTAGTAATGATCTAGATGGGACGATAACCACATTTGCAGATGATACAAAATTGAGTAGAATAGCAAACACCCTGGAAAACAGAGGGAAGACCCAGGGCGATCTTTGCAAGCTTGAAGGCTGGGCTGAAAGCAACACAATGAGAGTTGAAAGGGACACATGCCAAGTCCTCCACCCAGGAAAAAGAAGCCAGATGCATGGATACAAGATGTGGAATAAGTGGCTCAACAGAACTGAAAAAAGACCTTGGAGTTTTTCTGGACAACAGGGTAACTATGAGCCAGTAATGCAATATAACTGCAAAAAGGGCAAATGCTATTTTGGAGCTGCATTACTTCCAAATCACAAGTAGTAGTAGCAGTTCCCCTCTACTCCTCGCTAGTCACACCTCACCTGGAATACTATGTCCCATTCTGGGCACCAAGATTTCAGAAAGATGCAGAATAATTAGAAAGGGTCCAGAGGAGGACAAAAATGATCCAGGGTTTGGAAACTCTGCCCTGAGAGGAGAAACTGAGAGAACTGGGCATGTTCAGTCTTGAGAAAAGACCAAGGGGTGACATGATATCCATCCATAAGTACCTCTTAAAAGCTGTCACGAAGAGGAAGGTCAAGACCTCTTCTTGCTGATGCCAGAGAGCAGGACATGGAATAAACAGGTCAAGCTGCGACAAGCCAGATTCAGGCTGGACATCAGGAAAAGCTTCCTCACTGTCTGAGCAACACAGCAGTGGGACCAGCTGCCTGAAGAGGTGGGGGGCTCCCCCACACTCGAAACATTCAAGGTGAAACTGGGCAGCCATCTCAGTGGGATGGTGTAACTTGGTGTCCTGCAATAGCAGGGATTGGGCCTGATGGCCTTTTAGGCCACCTCCATCTCATAGAAACAGCGCGAGTCAGAAGGGGTCTCCTGGGCCATCTAGTCTGACCCCTGGCTCCAGCCGGCTCCACTCCCAACATGCCCACCATGTGCATGTCCAGCCAATCCTTGGACACCCTCACCGATGGGGCCTCAACCACCTCCCGGGGAAGCCCATTCCACACCCTTGGGGTCCTGACTGTCAGGAAGTGCTTCCTGGCATCCAGATTGAACCTTGGCTCCCTGAGCTTTGCTCCATTGGGGTGCATCCTGCCTTCCTCTGCAGGGGAGAACAGGTCTCTGTCCACCTCCATGTGACACCCCCTCACATGCCTGTATGTCGCCACAGATCCCCTCTGAGTCTTCTCCAGGCTGAAGAGACCCAGTCCCTCATACGGCATCCCCTGCAAACCGGCCACCAACCTTGTGGCCCTACGCTGCACTGGCTCCAACCTGGCTATATCCTGTCATGAGGGGCCCAAAACTGAGCACAATACTCCAGCACAATACTTGCAGGTGCACCAGAGTTGTATAGAGTGGTAGTAATACCTCTCTTGATCTAGAAGCCACACTTCTGGCTATGCAACCAAGGGTGGTGTTCGCCTTCTTGGCCACGGCATCGCACGGCTGGCTCATGTTCAGCCTGCAGGCGACCAGCACCCCGAGGTCCCTTTCACAAGCGCTGCTCTCCAGCCACTTGTCCCCTGACCTGCACTTATGACACCCCATTCCTGTGCCCCAAGTGCAAGACCTTGCACTTATCCACATTGAACGCCATCCTGTTGTCTCCTGCCCACTTCCATAGTCTGTCCAGATCCTTCTGGATCCGGAGTACCTGCTCCTCAGTTGTGGCCACTGCCCCAGTTTTATTTATTTAGAAAATTTCTAGGCTGCCCCATTCGCCGAAGCCTCGGGGCGGCTTACAAATAAAGACATTAAAATACATAAATAACAATATAAAATACATTTATATTAGCGTCGTCTGCATTTACCTGCTTACCAGGGGTACATCTCCTTGGACTCAATGGGGTTACTTCTGAGCAGACATATACAGGATTACACTGTGAAGCTTAATTTTAAAAAGTCAGCTACAGAATGGCTCATTTCTGCTGCCCAAGAATTACAGCCACTACCCCCGTGCTTTTAGGCTGTGGCCGGGCTTGGCCTCGCCTGATGGAAGGGCGGAGACAGAGTTAGACCCTAACTACCGAAGGATGAGATGAGACCCATGGAGACTCGAGGCATCGCAATGTTGGGCGAAGGTGCTGTCGGAGGAGGGGTCCAGATCGAGGAGGGCTCTCGCCAAAGGCCCTGCTCTTGACGCTGCCACAGAAGAACCGAGGGAAGGCGCAAGGCCTCTTCTCCTTCAGCCTCGCGCGATCCCACACTGTTGCTGCGCGGGAAGGGATGGGGCGAAACCGGGCTCGCTGCGCAGAAATCCCACCGAGCCAAGCCGAGCCGGACGAGGCCTGCCCTGCCCTGCGCATGTGCGCCAGGTGCGCCACGTGCCCGGGGCCTCCTGCCCCTTCTGCGCGGCGACCCCGCCAACGCCCCGCAGGGGCCCGGCTGGCTGGCGGTGGGCTTCCCAGCGAGGAGCGGGGCTGCCGCACGGCCTCCTTCCGGCGCCCGCGGCCCGTGCCGCCCGCTTCTCCTCCGCGGGGCCGCCCACGCCCTGCTTGCCCGGGGGCGACTGGGGGCACGCGCGGCCTGCCGGGCCCAGCGCCGCCGCTCCCGGTGGGGGGCCGCGGCAGAGGCCCGCCCTGAGCCCTGCCCGGGCCCGAGCACTGCGCCCCCGGCGCCGCGAAGCCGAGCGAGGCCCCTCTCGCCCAGGCGCTGCACGGCCCGGCGCCTTGGCCCC